AAAAAGAGAATGACAAGAGGGCAAAATGTACATGGGGAGACATTGATCAAAGAGTGCAAAGTTTCTGTTAAAAATCAGTTTAATAGATAGAATAGATAGTGTTCTGTCACGTAGCATGATCACGATAGTTAACAATGATATTGTATATTTGAAATTAAAAGTTAGAGCCTGGCGTGGTGGTACATGCCTGTACCACCAGCACTCTGGAAGGCTGAGGCAGGAAGGTCATAAGTTCAGACACAGCCTGTACAACTTAGTGAGATCTTGTCCCAAAATAAAAAGAGGGCTCAAGATACATCTCAGGGCAAAGGCCCTTGATCCAATACCCAGGACTGCAAAAGATAAATATAAAGTTGAGTAGTTGAGGTGATGGTTGTGCTAATTAGCTTGAGACAATCATTCCACAATGTACTTAACATCACATTGTAGCTCATAATATATAAAATTATTTGTCTATTAGAATGGATTTTTTTGAGATAGTATCTCACTGTGCAGTTCAGGCTGGCTTTGAGCTCACGATGTAGCCCAGGCTGGGTTTTGAACTCTCAGTGATCCTTGTGCCTCCGCCTCCAGAGTGCAGGGATTACAGGCGTGAACCACCACACTTGGCTAAAATTGATTTTTTAAGGAAATGCAAAAAAAAAAAAACCCTCCACTTTTCTTCCAGTGCTTTGGGTACATATCTTGCCAAGGTACTACTGGATCACATAAGATTCAACTTTTATTTTTTAGGACCACCAAACTTTTCCAGAGAGATTGTGCTATTCTACAGTCCCACAAGTACCATACAATTCAATTTCTCTGCGTTCCCACTAGCATTTGCTGTTTTTTTTTTTTTCTGTGTTCCTAAGAATGTGATCATCCTAGGGTCAGGGATTTAGCTCAGTGGTATTAGCACTTGCCTGGCAACTGCAAGGTCATGAGTTTAATCCCCACTATTAAAAAAAAGAATGTAGTTATTCTAATAGGTGATTTCTTTTGATTTTTTTTTGTACCAGGAATCAAATTCATAAACTGGCATTTGCCAGGCAGTTGCTGTGCTATTGAGCTATATCCCCAACCTGTGATTTCTTATTATAGTATGGTGTGCATTTCCCTAGTGATTGATGTTTGACAGTATTTCATGTGCTTCTTGTTCATTTACATATTTTCTTCATAGATGTGTCTGTAAATTCAAGTCCTTTGCTTATTTTAAAATTGCACTTTGAGCTGGCCATAATGGCACACACTGATAATCCCAGCACCCGGGAGGCTGAGGCAGAAAGATTGTTGTGAGTTCAAGAGCAGCCTGGGTTACAAAGTGAGCTCAAGGCCAGCCTGAACTGCATAATGAGATGCTGTCTCAAAAAGACAAATAAAATAAAGTTGCATTTTGTTATTGTTATCATTGGTTGTAGGACTTCTTTGTATATTTTAGATAGTAACACTTTGAGATATATTATTTGAAAATATTGCCTCGATTTTCATAGATTGACTTTGTGCCCTGCTGACAATGTCTTTTTTTTTTTCTTTTGGTACCAGTAATTGAACTCAGGACCTCACACTTGCCACACAGCCGCTGTAACATTGAGCTATCTTCCCCAGCCCTGCAGGTCTCATTATTTTATCCACAGGAAGTATTTGTATTGATGTAGTCTTAATTTATCTGTTTTTACTTTTGCCACCTGTGTTTTTGGGCCTGGAGTCTGTGGCAAATCCATTGTCATGTGGTTTTCCCTTCTACTTTTTATTTTAGGAGTTCTATAATTTTCACTCTTACATTTAGGGCGCTGATCCATTTTCAAGTGACTTATTTTGTGTTTGGTGTAAAATAAAGCTCTAACTTCATTCTTCTGCACATGGATATCCACTTTTCTTACCCTGTCTGTTGAAAAGATGATCCCTCCCCCATTGGCTGGTCTCAGATCTCTTGCTGAAAGTCCCTTGGCATATTGTAAATTGCTAGGCTCTCATGTTCCCTTGGTCTGTGTATCTGTCTTCATGCTAGGACCATAGCTTTGATTACCATAGCTTTGTAGTTTTGACACAGGAAATTGTTCTTCTTCAATATTTGCTGGGTTTTTTGCGGCTCTTTGGAATTCCTTAGAAATTGTGGCAGGGGATTGGCTTTTTGAGACAGTGCCTCACTGTATATTCTAAGCTGGCCTTGAACTAACTCACTATGTAGTGCAGGCTGGCCTCAAACTCATGGCATTCCTCCTGCCTCAGCCTGTCATGTGCTGGGATTACAGATGTGTCCTACCATGCCTGGCTTCCACAGAAATTTTAGGATGGATTATTTTATTTCTGCAAAAATGTGCTGTCAAAATTTTGATAAGAATTATATTAAATCTGTGCATTCCTTTGGGGGTAGCATTGACACATTAATGATATTGTCTTCCATGAGCATAGGATGTCTTTCCATTTGTTTATGTCTTTAATTTCTTCTTGTTTAATTTCTATCAGTACCACTTTGTAGTTTTCAGTGTATAGGGTTTTCACTTCTCTTCTTGATGCTATCGTAAATGGAATTGTCTACTTAATTTCCATTTCAGATGTTTATCATTAATGTATACAAATGCAACTGATTTCTGAGTGTTGATTTTGTATCTCCCAACTCTCCTGAATTCATGCATTAATTCTGTCAGGTCTTTGTATAAAGTCCTTGGGCCAGGGATATAGCTCAGTGGCACAGCACCTGAGTGCCAGCAAAATCGAAGTCCTGATTCAATTCCTAGTACAAAAAAGAAGTTAAAAGTCCTTGAAGCTTACCATATATGGCTAGTCCTGGATATTGGCTTCTTCTCTCTGTCTCTCTCTGCATCTCTCTATCTGTCTCTGTATCTCCTCTGTCTCTCCTTCTCTCTGTCTCTCTGTCTTCCCTGGCTTCTTAAGTGGCAGTCCTCAGTGATAATCCCAGGTGGGAGAGGCTTTGCCACCAGTAGAGCTTTCTAGGGTAACACTGGCCTGAAATGTGCAGCAGTCTTTTTTTTTTTAATTTGGTACCGGGGATCAAACTCATGACCTCATGCTTGCCAGGCAGGCACTTGTGTCTGCTAAGCTAAATCTCCACCCCTCAGTGAAGCGACCTTTTCAGGCTGAGATTTTGTCTTCTTCTGTCCCCACAATCTCAGTATCCCAGCAACATGAAGATGAGTGTGCAGGGCTTAGATGAGTATGCTTGGGCACCTCAGGCAGAGATTTCTTTCTCAAATAGCATCCTTGATGTCCTTTTGGGATGAGATAAACGTGACCATTTCTGGGCTTTCAATCCTATCACTTACTGCACTGGAAATCCTAATGTTTGTGGGAAGCTGTGCAAGGGGGCTCCGTGGAGAGAGGTCTTCTGGAAGCCTAAGCCACTTGTTTTGGGTTCAAAAATACTCGGTAAGAGAACTGGGGTGCACCTCAGTCACCAACAGAAGAGCACACGTCTTCCATTCCACCGTGTAGCTTTCCAGCTATGTCTCTAACTGGTGCTGCCTTTTAGCTCCTTCCACTGAGTTTCCATTGTGATGTGAGAGGTACTGGTTTGGATCTGGACTCATCGTCTGTCTAGGGGACCATGCACCCTACTACTGCCGCCACCATGAGATGCTCCTATTCAGACATTTCTTGCCTGTCTCTTATAGCATCTGGTTCTTTACCAAACCAGTAGAATTTGATCTAAAGGAAATTGTTAACTTCATTTGGCCCATTCTTCTGCTTCACTGTCAACCAAGCTTCAGCCTATGAACCCCTCTCCCATCAGCCTTGTCTTTCTAGCACATGGGATCCAAGGACCCTTCTCTGTCTAAAAGTAAAGCAGTCTGGGATGGACACTCTGGAGTAAAGGAGTAAATTAGTCTGAGATGGGCTTACCTGGGCCCTAGGATCTTGAAAGTAAAGCCTGAAGTCGGATTCCCATGCACCCATCTCTCCTAATGGACATTGCTCCATTCATGGCAGGACCCATCAGAAGTCAGGCTTATTTTGGCACAGAGAGGAGCCAGACTTTAACATCAGGCCGGGTGGCTTTCTCTCAGGTTCCTGGCAAGTGCTGTAGAGGCCTGATTTGCTAGATATGCAGCTAATCCCCAGTGTCTGACCCCAGCCCTCCAGCGTTTTGGCAAGGGCCGTGGTCCTAGCTTCCAGTTTTCTCTGCCCCTTCCCTAGGAAGTACGGACACACTGAGGCATCAGACTTTTTGGGGGTGGTCATTTAGGTCTATGGGCAGAATTTGTTCATCCCAAGAATCCTCAGGGAGCAATCAGGGGAGGACAAAGAAATCAGAGAGGAGGAAGCTGGCAAAGGGACAGTAGCAGTGGGGAAGTAAGTACAGTGGTCAGGGGCTCAGCAAGTGTGCGAAAGATGCTCATGTTGGAGACTCAGAAACCCAAGCTTCTGTAGGCCTCGGGAAGGTACTGGTTTGGGTTTAGACTCATTGTTCTAGGGCTTAGTGTCTAGGATGAGTCAGTGAGAGAAGACAATTGTTTTCTGCACTGTGTTTTACCCAGAACCCTCCTTGATTTGAGCTTGGCTCTAGCCATCAACACTAGGCAAACTAGCAGAACTGACATACTAAGCAGGGGAACTGACAGAAGTTCTCTTCTCTGTCTCTGATGCAGTTTGAGTGCAAAGGCCTCTGTGGAACCTCTCCTTCAGTACCACTGAAATGGTCTTTTGGGACTTGACGTTTTCCAAACTCTTAACAACAGAAAAGTCAAATGTATAAAGTGCTTCTTATAGAGTTGAGGAAATAGTTCAGTGGTAGAGTGCCTGCCTACAAGCATGAGGACCTGGGTTCCATTCTTAGAACAGAAAAAGAAAAAAGGAAAGAAAAAAAAATAATGCACATAGGGGCCCCACTCACTCCAAAATATCACAATTGTCCTCCTACCCCCCACAGGAGTGGCAGGGAGGGTTTCTCCAGGCCAAGGGTTTCCTCTTGGGAATCTGAGGTGTTCCCTTCCCCTTCCTAAAGTTCCCAACCTTAGTGGCCCAGGGCCTTCTCACTTCTTTCTCCCTGCACCTCTTTCCAGTGCTAGAGTGGCCAGCTACCTTCCAAATTCCCCTGGCTACTCTTAGGAGTCTAGGAGGCGTGGCGGGCCTCAGGACATTATCCCTGACTTTGTCCCCAGAGGACCGGAAGCTGTTTGTGGGGATGCTGGGCAAGCAGCAGGGTGAGGAGGATGTCAGACGCTTGTTCCAGCCCTTCGGCCACATCGAGGAGTGCACTGTCCTGCGGAGCCCAGATGGTACCAGTAAAGGTGACCTGAGCCAGCCCCTGGGGTTTCTTGGTGACTTTCTTACTGAGTCTTTTTGGACTCTATGACCTGAGCCACCTGATCCCTCTCTCCTGCCCAGGCTGTGCCTTTGTGAAGTTTGGGAGCCAAGGAGAAGCCCAGGCGGCCATCCAGGGTCTGCATGGGAGCCGGACAATGGCGGTGAGGCACAGGCTGGGTGAGGCCAGGGGGTAGGACAGGTTCCTCTCACCATGTACATTGGCAGGGACCTGGGTCACAGCTGGATGGGTCGGGACTGTGGCTTTCCTGCTCTACCTATCAGGGTGCCTCGTCCAGCCTGGTGGTGAAGCTAGCAGACACTGACCGTGAGCGTGCTCTGCGGCGCATGCAGCAGATGGCTGGCCAGCTGGGGGCCCTGCACCCCGCACCACTGCCCCTTGGGGCCTGCGGAGCCTACACCACTGCGGTAGGTGACTGGCCCTGGGGACAGCTGGCCAGACTGGGCATCCAGGCTGGGGGGGGTACCTACAGAGACTCCCATGAACACCCCTCTTTTTCTCCCAAGATCCTCCAGCACCAGGCAGCTCTGCTGGCAGCGGCCCAAGGTCCTGGCCTTGGCCCGGTGGCAGCTGTGGCAGCCCAGATGCAGCATGTTGCAGCCTTCAGCCTGGTGGCTGCACCTCTATTGCCTGCAGCAGGTAGGGACCCTAGGATTGGGCTGTAACTGGGAGGACCCAGTGTTTTACAACCTGACTCAGCCTTCTCTTCCATTATCAACAGCCAACTCTCCACCTGGAGGTGGCCCAGGTGCCCTCTCCAGTCTCCCTGCACCCATCGGAGTCAATGGATTCAGCCCCTTGACCACCCAGACCAACGGGCAGCTGGGCTCCGACACACTGTACAATAACGGGCTCTCTCCCTATCCAGGTAGGCCACCGAAATGGAGTGGGGAGCAGGGGACTAGGAGCCGAAGGGCCCTGCTTCTGGGGAAAGGATTCCTCTGCTCTTCCTCCACTCTCCACTCCCCTAAGGCTCTCACTGGGCCCCGGCCACCTGCCTTCACCATGGGCCTGGCCCCTCTCTCCCCAGCCCAGAGCCCCGGCGTGGCTGACCCTCTGCAGCAGGCCTACGCTGGGATGCACCACTATGCAGGTTTCACTGGGCACTGCGCGGGCCTGGGGGGAGGTGAAGGGCCCCAGAAAGGAGCAAGGAGATCCTGGGGGGCTCAGGTTCTCTTCCTAGGACTCAATCTTCCCATCCTGCTCACAACTAGCACCCCAACAACCTCTCTTGTGGCAAGGGTTAGGGTGGACTGGCTTGAACTGGTGACCGGAGAGATGGGGCCCAGCTTGGGGTTGACTGTGAGGTCAGTGCCTACTCCTGACTCTGTCTCCAGCAGCCTATCCATCGGCCTATGCCCCAGTGAGCACAACTTTTCCCCAACAATCTTCAACCCTGCCCCAGCAGCAAAGAGAAGGTGAGGAATGTGGGGGTGGGGAGTCAGGGCCTGGTGGGGCTGAGCCAGGGCCCTCTCCTGAACCATTCTGCTCGTGTCCCTGCAGGCCCCGAAGGCTGTAACCTCTTCATCTATCACCTGCCTCAGGAGTTTGGGGATGCAGAACTCATACAGACCTTCCTGCCCTTTGGAGCTGTCGTCTCTGCCAAAGTCTTTGTGGATCGCGCCACCAACCAGAGCAAGTGTTTTGGTGAGCTGAGCCTAGTCCCTGGGGCTCTCCCATCCTAGCTGGGGCGAGGCTTCCCTCCAGACCCTACCCATGGCAGTGATTCTCGGAGACTGAATGTACAACACAAAGCTCAGGACATAGTAAAGGGGACATGCCTAGACCAAGAAGAAGCCTCATCTCAGGTTTCTTGGGGAAACTCAGAGATCTAGAAGGTGAGGGCTTTGGTGTTTGGCCAAATCAGGTGTTGTCTGGGCTGGGACCAGAGATACCTGCAACTCTGTGGCCAGCCTGGAAATAGTGGAGGGGACAGCCAACCTGGGCCCAGCTGACACGCTGTCCCCTTCCCACACTGTAGCTTCCTGACCTTCCAAGAATCACAACTTTGAGAATCTCCGGCGTTTTGCCCTTATGAATGCATGCCCATCTCTCTGCCCATGCCTAAACAATGGAGGGGTGTGTTTGGTGGAACTGGCCCGGAGGGCTTGGGAGATGAGTGGGTTAGAGAAAGGCGGTCCTGCCAGGCAGGGTTCTCCACTAACTTCTGTGCCCACACTCTGTCTCCCAGGGTTTGTTAGTTTTGACAATCCAACCAGTGCCCAGACTGCTATTCAGGCCATGAACGGCTTTCAAATTGGCATGAAGAGGCTCAAGGTCCAGCTAAAGAGACCTAAGGATGCCAACCGGCCTTACTGATGTGCTCTTACTGAAAGGTGAGTCTGCCCTCTCCCCCCCACCCCACCATGCCCTTCCTAGCTTTGACATGCCTGTTAGGACCCAGGAGGCCATCGACCTCTGACAAAGTCCGGGATAAAGAGAAGAGCCAGGAGCCGGGAGGAGCCTTGGATAGAGACTGTGATTCATCCTGAGGATGGAGATACATTAGACAACACTCTGGCCTCCGCAGTGCAGGAAAGACAAATGCAGCAACATTTAGCTAGTCCTGTCCCAGACAGCAACAGGTAGAGAGTCCCCAGCCATGGAGAGGGCCAGAGGAATGAGGTGCGGGCCTACTGGGGAAGGGTCTTCGGGACCATGTGTTCTGACTACATACTGAAGGTGGCAGAGAATCACTGAGGGGTGGGAATGGAAAGAGACAAGATGCAAGTCCTGGGATAATGGCAACAAGCATGAAGATGAGGGGGCATCAGTGTGCTCGAGAGGGGATCTGCAGGGCCCGGTGGGCGATGGGCAGGCAGATGCCAAGATCTAGGTTTCTGCAGGGCTGTGGGCCCCATGCAACTCTTAGTGATGTGCTGTCCCTCAAGGGCCACTTGGATCCACCTGACTTGACCCAGGATCTGGCTTTGGTGCAACAGGCTGTTTCCAGGAAGAGAGACCCAGCTGCTCGACTGAGGGACCCTGAGAGTGCAGGCTGCTTTGGTCTGGCCCTCTGGGGTGACTTTTGCCTTTCACTCAAGGGCAAACACTGAAGAGTGAGAAGAAAGCAAAGAAAAAGCACAGAAAACGCTGGAGCGGCCCTTCCTAAGGGAACAGCTGCGGACGAATGGACAGAGGCGGATCGGACCCAAGGCCTGCGCCTGGGGCTCAGCCCCCCCCATGCTGTTTCTGACCAAGCGGGTTGTTCTGCACCTGGCCTGCGGCACAGCGGCCAGGCACCAAGTGCTGACTGTGTAGGGGAGCAGCTGAGGGCTTGGGGGTGCCAAGGGCTTCCCTGCCAGGGGAGCCCAGATTTACTTCTTTCAAAATCATATCATTCCTTAGAGTTTAGGGACCAAAGGACTTACTGCTTTTTTAAAGAATATATATATATATATGTCTATATAAATTAAAGAAACAAAAAAAAAAAAACACAAGAGAAACAAAAAGTATAGAGTCTAATAAAAGCTGCCTTTAACTATATCCCTAGGAGACAGGGTGAAGGGATGCTTGCTAGCCCCGCCCAGGCAGAGGAGCCGTGGAAAGATTGTCCTGTGTCTCATTTCCTCCTAAACCATCCCCGGCCCCTTTACAGCCCAGTAAGGAATTGAGATCCAGACTCATCTCCCGGGCATGAGCAGGGTATGGAAGCAAGCAGTGAACCCACAATCCACTGCCCGAACTCAGATAGCAGCCCTAAAGAGGTGCTGGGAGGACATCAGGCCCAGGTGGCCCTCACCATCCTGAGCAGTTCCCCGGTCAGCAGGAGAGGGGACCTGCGTCTCCTCAACAGTTTTCCCGGGGGACCCTGTTTTGCCAACCCAGAAGAGGGAGAAAAAGGGAGTTTGGCTTCCTGAGACTTTTCCTTCCAGTCCAGATAGACAGAGGCCTTGCCCTTGGATGAGCAGAGACAACTCCCATGTCCCCTCCACATGAGCCAGCCCCAGTGTCCCCTTGCTCCAGGCTACCTTGTGTCTGTTAGTCCAAGTCTGTCCACCTGTAAAGTAGTTTCAAGGCACGAGTAGACTATGAGCACAGGTCAGAAGCTCAAGACTGTATATACTGCCATTGAGTTGGGGATCATTTTCACTATGTAGATGCTTCATGCAGCATTAGAGGTCCCTCTTTACCCAGGACCTGGGCGGGAAGTAGATGTTTTGCCAAAATACTTCTTCATTCCTTTTCGAGGTACATCTTTCCTCTGCAAGACTATCTCCTGCGTTCTTACCCAAGGTGGTTCTAGATGGTGAGCAGCGTTTGGCTTAGAAGTGATGTGTGCTATCTGTTCGTCCTTGTCTGTCTGTTGTATACAGTGGGTGCCATATAAAACTGATCCATGGTGGTGCTTCCTGCCTGCTTCTGTGAGATGGGCCACAATGCAGCCCAGAACACCATGCCGCACCTTGCACTCAGTCTTTCTCAGGCCTGCAGAGCCTCACACATGCTTTATTCAGGGTGGGTGGTGGGGATCGTTTCCCTCTGCTCCACAGAGATGGAGTCACCTAGTCCTGGCTGAAGATGTGCTGGGGTCCCTCCAGATGTTGCTGAGGCTGGAGGCCTCTGCCCTAACATCACTCGGACAGCCAAGGATGTGGGGCCGGGTTTGGAGGGCGCTTCCTTCATAATGGTTTCTAAGAAAACTTGTTCCCACTAGTTCCTCTGTCTTCAGTTCATTTTTGGAAGTCATGAGGATGAACAATAGATAGGACAGTCAGACTGCCAGGTAAGGTGTGGTGCGTGTCTCAAAATGATTTCCAACCAAGAGAGGAGCCAGTGTCCACCACCCCAGCTGTGAGACTCAGATGTGCAGGCGCGTAGTACCTGGCCATGTGCTCACACTGAGGGACAGAGTCCACAGCACAGGAGCCAAGCACTGTGCGAGGTGGTAGGACACAGATGGGGCACCCGTGAGCGCTGGAGGGAAGAGGACAGAGGTTCCGACAATGCGGTTACCACGGAGCGTCATAAAGGTCTGTGCTAGCCAGAAGAGTGCCTAGTTAAGACCTCACTCGTGGGAGGTCCAAGAAGGGTGTCAGGGAGAAGGCGGAGGGGAAAAAGTCAGCAAGGGTGTACTGGGACATTTGGACAAAGTCTTTGGACAACTGCATCGTTTTGAAAATGTATCATTTTTGCCAAGAAAGAGTCATGATTACCACTTATTTCAATGTGTGTCATGGTGCAAGTAGTGGGTATAGGATAAGACCCTGTTCCTGCTTCCAGCTCTACCCTGAACCTTAACTCACAGATGAGTCACATCACATATCAGAGCAAAATGGCATTTTAAACTTTTTTTTGTTTTTTTGAGACAAGGTCTTACTATGTGGTCCTTGAACTCACTGTGTAACCCATGCCAACCTCAGACTTGCAGCAGTCCTCCTGCCTCAAGCCGCCTGTGTGCTGGAATTACAAGGGTGCCCTACCCAGTCTTAGAAGTATCTTGCCTCACACTTGGGGACAAGCTAGAGACTGGCACTGTGGACAAGTCAAAAGCTGCAGGAGCTGAATGGATCTACATTGGATACTGGCAAAATATAGCCTGGGTCCTATTTTTATACGACCTACAAAGAATGGCTTTAGCAGTTTTAAGGGTTATCCAAACAAAACAAAAAGAAAATGAGACAGAGGTCTTGTGTGCTGACAAAACCTAAAATATTTACCTTGTCCTCCAGACAATGGGCATGATGACCTCTGGTAAGATCGTGGAAGTCATGTGTCAGTGCAAACGACATGCTGTTTGTGTCTCTGTGTGTGTACGTATTAGAGTGGACCTTTCAGCTGCATGTGGCCACACTCCAATTCAAACATGTTTAAGCCAGTAGAATATTAATTGGCTGATGGACCTGACAAATCAGAGGTTGTGTCTGCTTGCAGGTATGGCTGGATCTCGGGATTCAAATGATGATGTCTTTATCTCTCAACTCTGCTTCCTTTAACGTGCTGCTACACTAGCTCTAGCACTAAAACCCCAGGAAAGAGTTGGGCCAGCTTTGGAAATATGCCCACCTCCAGAATGGAAGGCGAGGCCAGCATAATTCACAATTTCTCTAGGACTGAGTGGCAGGGGAGAAAAGGGTTCAGTAATAAAAGGATAAGTAATAGGTGTCCCTGACATCTCACCCTTTACCCCACCCCTTGTCCTTTTCTTGACAAACAATTTAAAAAATGGATCCGCCTCAAATGCAGTGAGCTAGATCCTGCCCAAAACACACCTGTTTCTTTTTTTTTTTTTAAACTCATGACCTCACGCTTGCCAGGCAGGTGCTTATGCTGCTAAGCTAAATCCCCAGCCCAACACACCTGTTTCTTTTTTTGTCCTTTTGCTGTGGTTGGGTTTTGGTTTTGTTTTGTTTTTGAGACAAGGTCTTGCTATGTTTCCAGGCTGACCTTGAACTCACTAGATAGTCTAGGGTAGCCTAAAATTTATGGTCCTTCTGTCTCTTCCTCTTCCTCCAGTGCTGGGATCACAGGTGTGTGCTACCACACCTTCCTGACAAAGTGGTATCCTATGCAGTTGCTTTATTCAGTCCAGGGTCTCTTACTGAAATGCCATTTTTTTCTCTTTTCCTGGTACTGGGATTGTACCCAAGATGCCTAGGGTTGCATCCCCAGATGTTTTTATTTGAAACAGCATCTCACTAAATTGCTGAAGCTGCTATTAAACTTGCAATCCTCTTGCCTTAGCCTCAAGAGTTGCTGGGATTACTGGTGTGCACCACCACACTTGGCCTGTGATGTATAATTCTTGAGCAGGATGTGACTTCTTAAGAATTTTCGATCTATAGCTACAGAATAAATTTAGCTATCTTTATATAACCAATATGAAATAGTAGAGGCAAACTGGGTGTGGTAGCACATGCCTGTAATCCCAGCAGTTGGGAGGCTGAGGCAGGAGGATCACTGCCAGTTTAAGGCCAGCCTGGGCTACAAAGTGAGTTCAAGAGTTCAAGACCATCCTGAAATGCATAGTGAAACTCTGTCTCAGGAAAAAAAAATATAGTAGAGGAAAATAGGATTACAATTTTTAAAAAAAGTTTTCTATTTGGAGTAAAGGAGAAAGAAAACCCTGGATACTGATCCACAGATTAAAGCACACCCACTTGACATTGTAGAAAGTTTCTTGGTCAGCAAAGGTGATTAGTTTGGGTCTTTTCCAAGGGACAAAATCTTGTTCTGGGGAGGATAGTCCTTTCTGGACAGAAGTCCTGTTTGACGTTGTTTAAGATTTGCAGATTACCTTCGAAAGTCAGCATTCCTAGGTCCATGTTGCCAAAAGCATGAAAACTTTGTGGATTAGCAACTATTATTAAGAACTTTCCTGAGCCAGATGCATTGACTCATATCTGTAGTCCCAGCATTTGGAAGGCTGAGGCAGGAGGATCGCCATGAATTCAAGGCCAACCTTAACTACATAGTGAAATCCTGTCAAAAAATCAAAAGAAAAAGAAAAAACATAAAAGAATTTTGCTGGATCCTTGAGTTTGGATCCACCCTTCGGCATGCTTTGTGTCTTTGACCTTTTGCTCACCCTCAGCATCATGGCTTCTGGGGTGGCCATCTATGGTGGTGCTACAGAGAGCAGTTTGATTTGACTCTTGGCTGACTTATGTGCCTCAGTAACTTTACCACTAACCTTGAGTGCAACTGGATGCTAGGTCTTCATTGTAAGGGACTCTTAGGACAGCACTGAGGTAACCAAAGAAGCCAGAAACCTATAGCCTTCTCTACTCCTCCCTCTTAGGCCTTTTTTTTTTTTTTTTTTTTTTTTTTTTGGTCTTTTTGAGACAGGTTCTCACTATGCAGTTCAGGCTGGCCTTGGCCTCACTTTATAACCCAAGCTGGTCTTGAATTCCCAGATCCTCCTGCGTCAACCTCCTGAGTGCTGGGATTACAGGCATGCACCACCATGCCTGGCTCCAGCCACGTTATTACACTGAATTTAGGCCTCTCTGATCTCCCTAGACTTTGGAGGCTGTAGACAGTCGTTAGCCGTCAGCAGTGGCCCTGCAGTAAATCTATGTCTGTCCTAGATGCACACAAGCTGTCTCTGAAATGAGGTCTGAGGTGGATTGGTGACCTTGACCTTGGAGCAGCTCTGGCTGTGTCATGGACACACAGCAGACCTGGAGATCCTTCCTTATCGGCACAAAGAATGCGCAGGAGGTGGCTGTGCATGCTGGAGGTCAGAGCCTCCTTGTTCCTTTCCAGCTTTGGCTATAATCTTTGGGCCCCCTCTTGCCTGACTTCCAGCTTCCACCATAGCACAGCCCAAACCAACAGAGATGGAGGCTGTTTGCTACCTGTAGGCCCTCCATGGCCACTGCATTTGTATATTGGGTCACACAGCCGAATATGCTTCAGTTAGGAGAGCCAGGAAGAAGGAAACCCTTTGGGGTTCAAAGCCAGTTCAGGCCACACAGCTGTCTTCCAGCCTGCAGCCTAGATCCGGTCTGCCCTTTCAGCTTGCAGCTCCAAAGAGCTAAGACGTATGGGATCTGAAAAGAGGAGACCAAGTGTCTGCCAAGGAGAAAGAACAAAGGGCCACTCTTCCTCCTGCTCAGACACAGCTACGACAGTGTCCCCTGCTCCAGCAGTCTGGGCTGACCAAAGCCTTTGGCTGCCATCTGCCCAGTCTCTGGCCTCCTGCAACTGGCTAAGAGTGCAGAGACCAGAGACCTAGAAGGTGGGCTGGGTCTTTTCCCCAAGGAATGACTTAGGTGCCAGCCAAGAACCGAGGGGACTCACTGAGAGTGAGTGAGCCTCGGCTTCTGAGAAGTAGCCTAGAAATGACCTAACTGAGTGATGTTGCCAGCAGGGCCCTGAAAGAAAGAAAGCCTGGGCCAGATTCTCTGCATTTGAGTAAGAAGAGCTAGTTGTGTCCTCAGACTTTTTGATCCCTGCACTTTCAGGACTCAGTGCTGAGTTGAGAACTTGAATCACATCTGTGTTTAAACCCAACTTCCTTAGGAAGAAGACCAGCCTTGAGGGAGACTACTGTGATTGGGTCTCCTCAGCTGGCAGCCTTGCTCCTGAGGCAATCACTTCAGCCAGGAAGATGGCATCCACTGTGGTAGACCAGTAACCTAGTCCATGGGGCAGAAGAGGCAGAAACAGAGGTGGCACTGTGACTTATGTACTTGTGACAATGTGGAATGTGACAATGTGGCCCATACCTGTAATTCTAGCTACTCAGGAGACTAAGGCAGGACTATCACAAGTTTGAAGCTAGCCCAGAAACTTAGTGAGTCCTTGTCTCAGAATAACAAACAAATAATCGAAGAATGTGGAATGTGGCCTGGTTGGAATACAGGATGCAGGTTAGGGGCAGTGAGAGTCAAGGAGGGGCCAGATGGATAGAAAAGGGATACTTTTTATGCTAGAGGCAGTAGAGAGCCATTGAATGGTTTTAATGGAAGAGTGACATGATCAGATTTGAGCTTTAAGAAGATCCTCCAACCTGGTGAGTGGTGATTAGACTGGAGGAGTAGACACCAGCAGAAGGGTGATGCTGTAGTGCTGGTGAGGAGCAGGAATAGAGAAGAGGACTAGATTAAGATGAATGCTCAGGATGATCATTCAATGTGGGCTGCAGTCTTCACCGACATGCCCAGCATGTGCTTCTCTGACTTACCATCTTCTGTCACCATGTGGCCACTACAATCCTAAGAAGTAAGAAGGGAAGCTTGTTGTGGTGGCACCCACCTGTAATCACAGCACCTTGGGAAGCTGAGGTAGGAGAATCGTATGTTTGTGTGGAGCCTGATCAACTCTGTGAGACCCTTGTTTCAAAAAAAAAAAGGACAGCCAGGTGTGGTGGCACACACCTATAATCCCAGCCTCTTGCCTCGACTGAGGCAAGAGGATCATTGCAAATTCAAGACCAGCCTAGGCTACAAAGTGCACTCAAGGCCAGCCTTAACTACATAGTGAGACCCTTTCTCAAAAAGACCAAAAATTTTTTCAACAGAAATTTAAAGAGTAACAGACCTGGGCATGGGGGCACACACACCTGTAATCTCAACACTCAGGAGGCTGAGGTAGGAGGATTTTCATGAATTTGAGGCCAACCTGAGCTCTATAATGAATTCAAAGCCAGCTTATCCTACATAGAAAGACTCTGGTTTGAAAAAAGCAATTTAAATAAATCACAAAATGAAATTTTTAAAAAAGAGAGAAACGAGTTGGTGCTGTAGTTCTATTTCAGTTCTCAAAGCATATACAGGAAGGAGCTGAGAGAAAGGAACGAAAGGAGGGAGAGAGGAAGGCAGAGCTCCAGGGTTCCAGCACACAGTCTGAGGTCAAGTGGAGGGCGTGAGAGCCCCTCACACTTCACCTTATTCCTCCTACCCGTCCTGACACACATGGCAGCTATGCCTGCATCATTTCAAACAACTTTGCTCTCCCACAAAGTCTTCTTTAATTCTAAGGAACAAGCAGCTGCCACGTAGCTGGGCCTGATGGTGTACCTGTCATCCCAGCACTCAGGAGGCTGTGGCAGGAGGATCACTGAGCTGGAGGCCAGCTTGAACTCAAGTGATCCCGTCTCAAAACCATGCAACACAAACACCCCACAAAGTTGCCACTAAATAGTGCCTAGTATCAGGGACTGCTTCCTACTGTCCCCACCATATAAAAATATACAAACAGGGCTGGATATCCAGTTTGGTAGAATAGCTCTTACTTGTGTAGCATAGGCAATGCCCTAGGTTCAATCTTCAGCACCACAAGAAGGTAGTGGTAGTGGAGAATTCACATATAAAAATGAAAGAAGATGTGTATAAGGTAAATTTGGTTCCACCAAAACAAGAGTGGGAGAAGTCTGCAGCACTTCCCCCTCGGGGCTCAGGCTGAATCAGCCCAAGATGACATGGACTAAGTTAGGAACAGAAAGGAAACGTACAGGAGAGGATGACTTGGCCATGTCATGCCCAAGTGGAGCTGTCCCAGAGGCACCTGAAACTGAAGAAGTACAGGATGGAGACCCAAGTTTTGGTGTTCCAATCTACAGCCATGGGTCACTCAGTTTGATGTAAAAAGAAAACATCTGTTGAAAGTGGGTCACATAGTTGCCAGCTAGAAGGCCCCCCCTCCACGCCCCTTTGGCCCCTGCTTCACCAGGGCCAAAGCCAGAATCACACAGGAGAAGCCACCCAGCACTGACACCACTGCAGTGGTAATCAACGGACATGGTGTGTAACTACACCCATAGAGCCGTGGCCCAAGGTTGATTTACTATGGTACTTGCCCTGGGATGACTTCCTGATGGCTCTGCTTCTCTGGGTCCCTCCAGAGTCCGTACCCCTAGGGCTGGTCACATCTTACCTCCTGGAGATCCTGGGAAGCAAAGATCCAACCTTCCAGTGTCTTTTGAGGAAGGTAGGTTTGGTTTACCTCCAATCCCTTTAACAGACAAAGGGGACTTGGATTCTACACAACCTGCTTCACACGGGTGCTTCTGAGGCCACTGGAAAAATAAGAGGGGGAAAAAGGGAGACTATTTTTATATTTAAGTAGTGAGAGAAGGACAGGGAGTCTGTTAAGAGTGCGTGAAGAAGCCGCATAGGGAGGAAGGCAGAAGAGGGCATCTCACAGGAAAGGGCTGCAGAGTCAGTGTGATGACGACATCAAGTGGCCAAAGGAGCCTGAAGATTTCCAGGGGACCTGGCAGTTTGGAAATTCTTTGTAACTTTGACTAACGTATTTTCGGTAGAGATTCTGAAGAGTCCAATAGCCCAGCGGTTTAAGGAAGATATAAATCTCAGCACTCTGGGAGGCTGAGGCAAGAAGGTATCAAATTGGAGTTCATCTTGAAAATGTAGTGACTTCATGAGATCCTGTCTCAAAATAAAAAATAAAGGGCTGCCAGGAGTGGTGGCTCACGCCTGCAATCCCAGCACTGGGGAGGCTGAGGAAGAAGGACTGTTGCAAGTTCAAGACCAGCCTGGGCTAAAAAGTCATCTCGAGGCCAGCCTGAACTGCATAATGAGACCCTGTCTCAAAAAGACCAACAAATAAATAAATAAATAAATAAATAAATAAATAAATAAATAAATAGAAAAGGGGCTGGGGCTGGGGCTGGGGCTCAGTGTTAAGGCCCTGGGTTCAATCCCCAGTGTGTGAGTGTGCAGGGAGGAGGGAGAGCATAGAAGTGCAGATGGAAAGTGTAGATATGACGCCCAGAAGGGTGACTGAAGGCAAGAAAAATGAATAGTATGTGGGACTTAAATTGGACTTTTACTAAGGTTGGGCTGGTTGATCAAATTTATATGCTGAGATCAAAGAGTAGGAAAGGAATATGTTGAACACATATGAAGGAGAAGAGGAGGTGAAGGGGCAAAATTCTTAAAGATGCAAAAAGAATTTTTTTAAAAAAGTAAAATAAAGGCCACAGTGAAAAGATTTGAAAGGAGACCTCTGCTGTTCTGCAATGGAAAGGATGGGGGACAGTCAGTATCTGGAGGGGGCAGAAAGTAGAGACAACCCCCCCACACTTGTGAACTTTCTATTTTTTTTTTTTCATTTTTCCTTTTTATCAGTACCAGGGATCGAACTCACGACTGGCTGCTTGTAAGGCAGGCGCGTATGCCTGCTGAGCTAAATCCCCAGCCCAAACTTCCTGTTCTACATGAAGCAGAGTGGAGCTGGGGAGAAGCTGATACAGGGAAGGAGTGCTGGGCATACCAAGAGCCCAGACCCAAGGAATGTGGATTTGTAGCAGCTGTGTACTGGGAGTGTGTACTGGGAGCAACTGTGTACTAATCACTAAAATAGTTCTGGTGATTTATTCTAGGAAAAGGAAGATTGATTCAAAGATCTCTGAGATCAGAAGGCCTCAAGGAGGGCTGGGAAACTGCTAGGAACTGGAGGGCAGTCTTCATGTATTTTTGTCTCTGGCCTCTAGGCCTCATGCTTGGTCTGCAGAGACCCCAGGACATCTGTTTAGCACAACTGGGGTCAAGGATCCATTCAAAGTTCAATGAACTCCAACCAAGGCGCCAGGAGTCACACAACACTAACCCTACCCTGGGGCCTGTGGGTATAGAAACTATAATCCAAAGATGGGCTTTTGGGCTTGACTAAGCTAAAGTGGTGTGTACTCACAAGCTCAGGTCTGCAGGACCAAGTAATTTCCTTTGTTCTGTTTAGGATGGAATAGTGGAAAAGGCAGAGTGCTGAAATGATGCATGTGTGTGATTTTTAAAGAGTAAGGAGCAGACACAGTGACAAAATGTCACCAAAGTGACCGGCTGAGGATCTGGACTGGACACAATGAATAAAGCCTGGAAGATTCTGGTAAGTATGAAGCAACTGAAATCCAGGATGAGTAGCCAAGCTGGTAGTAGAGATGGGAGGAGTTGGGGAGAGGGGGGTCGTGAAAAGTACAGAATTATGGAGTTTGACCTTTCTTCCACGGGACAGATGCCCCTGTGCACCCAGACATGCATGGCTCTCAGAAACTGTTACAGGGCCCTTCGTCATGAGTTTTTTAGGGAGCAGGGGTAACTCCTGCAGCTACGCTGAGCTATCTGCTTCCATTTTTTATCAGTTAATGTAAGTAGGCAATATAAGGAACTGTTATGATTTAAACCTAGAATGTCCCCCTCAAGTTTCTTGTGTTCAGAGGTGGGATGTTGGAAGGTGACTGGGTCCCCAGGGAGCTATCCTTATCAGCAGAGTGAGCCACAGATGAGTTCAGAGCTGTATATACTGAGAGGAGCCAGGGTATGGTTGGAAGAGGTGAGTCACTGAGGGTATGGCCTGGAGTCACCCATGACTGGCCCTTCCCTTCTCTCTGCTGCCTGTCCTCCATGTCATGAGCAGCTTTCCTTCAGGTCTTTCCACCATTTGCCTTGTGCCTTGCAGTCAGCCAACCAGCAACTGTCATGCAAAATAAATCTCTTTCCTTTAAATTGTGGGTGTCAGGGATTTATCCCAGTGATAGCACAGTGGCCAAAACACAAACTAAAACTGACATGTAGTAGCGGATTAACTAATGGTCAATTTGTAACATCCAGCTGAACCGAATAAGCATGGTGCTGCATGTGGAAAGCCCACCCGAAGATTGTCACCAACAGTATAAAAGGAAACCTAGAGGGAAAGACAGTGTGTTATTAATTCTCCTGGAGATGCTGGTCATGCTGGTTTTTATGATATGAACTCAGCTGGTGGAATCACTGGAGGATCTTGGGATCTCGCTGTTGCCAAGAATGTCTGCAGTTCTCTTTTGGGGGAGCTCTCTCTGGTCTTTATATTGAGCCTCGCTTCCTGGCTCCAGTGCAGATCCCTCAGTCTGCTGGCACAGATCCTTCATCTCACTGGCTTAGACCTTCTAGCTTCCACCCCTGACCTTTGGGCCTTCCCAGTTCAAATCCTTGATACAGACTTGCGTGAGACATTGTTGTGGGCTCTTGGCCTCCAGCTGGACTTGTGAAGCACATTGCCATGGGTTCTAGTTCTTCAGCTGAATTCATGCAGGACATTGCTGTGGGATCCAGGTTTCAGCTGAATTCTTTGATCTCTAGTATGTGGACAGATCTCCCACACTCTTCTGTGTTTGACTGTTTGGGTGGGTAAAATAGTCCTATACATTATGTATCCTGTAGTAAATGTATTCTCTTGCAAAACCCTGACTACAATACAGAGTACTGTGGCCCAGGATGAGTGGCAAGGTGAACAGTGCGGGGCATCAAAAGGAAAACAGGTCAGAAAGAAGCACATGAGGCAGTACCAATATAAAAGAAAAAACTGTTACTAGGAAAATTCTGACGAGTTGCTCAGGAGAGATAGATGTAGCATTTTATTTTTCTATTCTTTTTGGCATGAAGCACAGAACGCAGAGATGCTCCACCACTGAGCTCTGCCCCCAGCCCTGCATGAGTATTCTTCACTCAGGACCAAGGCCTTCCTTGTTTGTGTTGTGTCCAGATAAAGAGAGGGAGGGATAAAGCAGAGTGGGTCTGAGATAAGCCTTTTTGTGGTAGCACTGATGGAAAAGAGGGCAGTGTGGAACCTCAGAACTGATAAGGGTGCAGGTTGGGGTGATCATGTCTAAGGTTTGTAACCATAATAACTACAACTGCAAGTTTCATCTACAGACTGCTGATGCTCCTTGGCTCGGCATCACTCTGCTATGCTGTACATGTCCTTTACTGTCTTGCTCCTGTTGACACAGGAGACAGTGTGGGAGACATTGCAGCCTTATGCACACGATACACGGGTGACCTGCTGGTTCTTGGAGGCTGCAGGGGCTGCTCTCACCATATTTCCTCAGCATTATGACATGAACCTAAAGAATATGCTCCTGCCCTAGCAATTTCCTCAATCTCTGCCTGAGCCCAAGGAGCAGCCACTATAGTGCTTTACTGAGACACACTGAGTGCTTTAGAGTCACTCAGGGTGACCCCACAGTCATTGTAATAGCACTGGCATTGGTTTATCGCTCAGTTCATCTGGGTCTCTGCTTCTCTGGGTACATAAAGTCAGAAAATCCCCTCCAAACCTGAGGGTGAAAGACTCCTAGTGAACTGAACAGAGCTTGCTTGGCTACCACCCCTGGCAACTCCCTACCTCATAGGAAAACAAAAGTAAAGCCAATCCTGGAATGCACTCCAGTTGCCATCTCTGGCTTTTGAGGGTTGACTTGTCTTACTGACTGTTACCACCTCTGGGTCTGCTTTCCAGGAATCCTCCCAGGTTATTTTATTTTATTTTAAATTTTCTAGACAGGGTCTAGCTATGCAGTTTGGGCACCTTGAACCAGGTAGCCCAGTCCAGCCTCGAACTTCAACTCCCGCCTCAGCGTCCCGAGGGCTGGTATTATAGGCAAGTGCCACCATGCCCGCATCTCAAATATATTTTAGCCTTGAATCTAAAACTGCTCTAAGTTAAACTTATTCTTGAGCTTTCTTATTGGCCTGCTCCTTCTCTGTGAAGGGTACTTTCTTTTATTTCATTTTTTAAAATCTCTGCCTTTCTTACTACTCCTGTGGGTCTTTATCAATTCAATGTTCTGGACACAAAGAACCTGGACATTGAATGAGATAGAGACACCTATCTGGGGACACCGTGGCTGATTGGATTGCTACCCAATACATAACGAAAGGAGAAAACTGTACAAGATAAATTATTCGTTTAAAAACTTTGTTCTTAAGAGAACAAGAAGTCAACAGGAAGCAAGCTCTCCATGTGAATCAGTGCCATGTGTGGGCCACTGGGGAGTCAGCCATATGCCAGCCTTTTCCCATGAATCAATGTCATTTGTGAACTGTAGGGAAAGAGAACAAGAAGTCACCAAGAAGCAAGCCCTCCCTGCAAATTGGCGCCATTGCGGGCCATAGGATGGGAGCCAGATGTCAGCCCCTTCCGCATGAGCTGGGATACAAGAGCCAACTCCTGTACCCATATTGCCTGTAAGCCACCAGCTGATCCAGAGAAACACAGGCTGCGATGATAGCTATTGAGGTAAAATATAATTTAATGCTTGTAGTGTTTAGTGTTTCATTGATTTCATAAGTCTAAAGTTAGTAGTCTGATCATCTATTCAGAGGATAATAATATGGAACGTAAGCATTTATGGGGGAATCGCCTTCTGAAGGTAGTAGCCATTGTTACTTCCCTATTATCTTGTTTTGAAATGTTGTATCATTTGCATTGTTTTGTTGGGTTGGATTTCATTCTGTTTTGTTTCATTTTATTATATCAGCATGGGCAGCTATTTCAAAGATAACAAGATATATTATAGTAGCCATTTGGATTTACTCTTGTCTTGTCCTTTTTATAATTCATTGTTTTGTTTTTACTGGCTCTATTCTGTTTGAAGATATCTGGAGCTATTTTGAAGACAAGAGGCATTATGGTAACCGTTATTGATTTCATATTGTTTTGAAGTCCTATGTCACTTACACTGGTTTGTTTTGATTGGCTTTACTGTTTTATTTTGCTTGGTTTTATTCTTCTTAAAATAAAAATAACTTTGTTCTTTTGAAATTGTCTATCTCTATAAATGCTTCATGGCTTTGTAATTACTTTCTTTTATTTTTTTTTTATCGGTACCAGGGATCGAAATTGAAAGAGTTTTGGCCCAGGCCGGACACTGTAGCTGGAAAAGCCTCAGCCGGAACCAAGGAGCTCCTATCTCCCCCCACCCTTAGGGATTTACCTCCTGTGCCAAACTAGTGCCAATGGGCTACTTGTGCATCCCTTAATGCCCCTCAGGCACCACACCTAACCTAAGCTACATATATGCCTCCACTCCACGTGTTCCACAGAGAGATCACCGACCCTAGGGGGGAAATGCCACGCCCCAGGGGAAAAGGTCGTTTATATTTCATACTTCTTACCTTTTCAGGTCCCCCACAGTTCTAGCAGAACTCACCACTGCCTACTTGCAAGGCAGGCACTTATGCCGATGAGCTAAACTTACTCAGCCCTGTAATTACTTTCTTGACCCCTGTAACCACAAGAGTATAACCAAACATGCAAGATGCTTGATTGTACCATTGTACCAAGCTTCATGAATTGATGATTATTAATTTACCCTTGTAACTGATAATCTCACTCTGCTAGATTATCATAAGAACTGCCAGGCTGTTCTGTCTCGCCTTTGTACATTCTTTGTTTATGCATCATACAAAAGCTCTAGAGCACCAGAGATCCGGGCGTAATGTTCTGGGAATGATCCCCATCAGAGCCCATCAACATAAATAAATCTGCCTTCAAATCCTGAGCGTCCTTTCTTTCGCTGTTTCTGTCTGCCTTGGCAATATCACTAGACCAGGAAAAATTCAAATCCAAGTATGGTTATGAATTTGTTTTGTTATGGCTTTTGAACCATTATAAAGTTAAGATCGTTCAAACCTTATAAATTGTGCCATCTATACTTCCAGGCACTCTGCTTGGTTACTTTAAAGGTATTAGTTTGAATCCTATGAAATTACACATCATTGTTTCTAACCTACAAAAATGACAATTTCATCAAGTTAGGTGTCATGGTACATCACCCTCGCCAAAAAAGCCCTATTAAGTAGATGTCATTGTCTCCATTTCGAAGATGAATTAAGACTCAGAAAATGAAAAGTCTTCTTTTAAGGACGCACAACCAGTAAGTGCTACAACCAAGCTTTCAACTTGCATTGTTTCCTTAGAAGGGTAGGAGGCTTTCTAGCACTTCAAAGTTACCAAGAGAGCAAAGGAGTTAAATATAAGAATTAAATGACCAGATTTCAGAGTTTACTGTGGTTTGCAAGGCTGTTATCTGGAGACCACCTGAGGCGTCTTCCCAGCGCATTCCTCCCAACTACAGGAGGTGCTAAACGCAAACATTCTCCTTCTGAGGGCCCTAGGCGCGCCCTACATCCCCTCTGTTTTCTCCACTCGCCTTCTCCCAACCACAGCCCAGGCACCACCCCTCGCTCCGCACTCCTTCTGAACTAAAGACCAGTGCGCAGGCGTCCCAGGACAGGCATCTGGGGTGGGGGCGCGCCCAGGCTCAGGCCGCGCGGTGATTGGTTCGGACAGAGTCACGTGCGCTCGGCGGTGCCTTTTGAGCATGCTCAGAGTGGCCCAGCGCGCCCGTGACGGAAAGACGAGGCGTGGGGTGCGCGACCTCGCCTGCCCGGCCCGGCCCCCGCCCCTTGGCCTGCCGCTCCGCCCCCGCGGGGCGTCCCGGGCCGCTTGTCCCCTTTGCGGCGGCCGCTCGCGGCCCGGGGTCGCCGTGAGTACTCGCGAGGGTAGCCTTTGGGGCTGCTGCCCTGGGGTACAGGGCAGGGCGTTCGGGACAGGGTAGGGTGCGGGCTGCGCCCCGCTTCGGCCGCGAGGGATGAAGTGCGGGGATTGACACGGTGGTTCAAGAGATTGCCCAGCTTCGCTCGGACTGGGCGCTGGCATCTCAGATCGGACACAGAGCTGCTTCCCTGGGGAGGCAGGTGTTGGGTGTCTTTGGAGGTCTCCCGAGGAAACCCCAAGAACTATAACTGCTTCCTTAAGTGATGCTTCAGGGCTCCCTGGGAGGCGCGAGTGGCAGGCAGAGTGTTTGCAAGACAACTCTGTCCTTTTGGTCTACGGGGAACAGTCGACTATGCCAGCTCGCGGGAGTGACCCCTGGTTGGCTCTTCCCTTCCCTCTTTGTTTAGTTTTGGACCTTCAGGCACAGGAACACTCGTTATGAACCAAGTTGCTCCCTCTCCCGGGACCACAAAACTGAGACTCAGGCCTAGACTTTAAACGTTGAGATCCGAGGCCTCTCTGAGTAGATGTGTAGTTGTCACACACAGAAGGGCCCGTGGACCTGCGGAAAAAGACCTTCATGACCCAGACTTGAGGCTTATTTACATTTGGCCTATTCTAAATCGATTAAGAGGTGATCCAGAACAAACACCGAGTTTACCACCACCCTACTCTGGGCACTTCATGTAGTTTGTTTGGCACAAGTTCTCTTGCAAGGTTCCCTACTTTATCTCATGTTGCTAAATCAAATAGGCCTTTCTTGCTTAATTCATTAACAATCCCTTAAATTAAAAAGATGTCATATGAAGATTGTATGTAATTAGGTCCTGTCAAATGTTCTTGGTCCATTATACTCCGATCCTTAAGTTTTAGGGCTTCCCCAGGCCTGAGGATTCTGTGTATAACACAAAACTTATGAGTTAGCCCATCTTCCAGGCTTACTCTTTTTAGAGATGTCTGGTTCTGTGAATTCCGTGACCCACGGCCTATCTTTGCCCAGTCTTATTACATCCACTCTCCATCTCTGCAAGGAAAGAGCAGCCTGATTTTCAGGAGCTGGTAATCTCTGAACTGTCTCTTCGCTGGACAGAAGCAATCCTGCTGAACTATTTTTTTTTTTTTTCTCCAAGTATAGCAGCAGAAACCAAGTAGCAACAGCCCTTGGAGAGATGCTAAGTTTTTCTTGACTGAAGTCAACAGTGACAAAGACTTTGAAAAAGCTGGTACTTCTGGCCTGTGCTCCTATCATCCTACCATTCACACGAAGACAACCATTTCTGTGATCTTCCCGATCAGCACTTGACTGTTTATTTTCAAGTCTCACAAACAGCCCCCAGATCTTCATATTCTGGTTCTCGGCTGCTTTTGAGGTGAATGAAGTATTGGTTTTGAAAATCATCTTGGTGTGATTTTGTTGTGTGTAAAAAGTATTTAGGTTTTTTTGTGTATCTTCCATTTGATTTAGGTAGATAGTGAGTGTCAGTCATTCATTCAACAAATGTATTAATAGGATTGAGAACATAAAACAGTCAAAGCCTGAGCTGTGGAGCTTGCAATCAGATGGGAGATAAACCTGCTGAGTGCTGTGGGGAAAGATAACTTGGGGGTAGGGGGAGAGTGTGCTAGTATGATAGTATCCGGGAGTTGTTATTTTATATAGGATGGTCAAGGTGACCTTTGAGCAGTGTGTAGGTATCTATGTGAACAACATTCAAAGAAGAGAGAACAGCAGAGACAGAGTTCTGTGATGGAAGTATACTGCCTTGGAAGAATAGCAAGGAAGCTGTGTAGAGTCTTGGGCAATCTTCCTGTTAACATTAAGACTTGGGGGCTGGGGATTTAGCTCACCGGCATAAGCGCCTGCCTTGCAAGCAGGCCGTCGTGAGTTTGATCCCTGGTACTGATAAAATCGAAAAAGCAAAAAAAAAAAAAAAAAAAAAGACTCTTAGAGCATCTGACCAGTGGCTTGATAGAACCCAGGGCTTTGTGCATGTTCACTCTTGTCATTGAGCTACATCCCCAGCCGTTTTATTATTATTGGTGTCCCTGAGTTGCCCAGACTGGCCTCAAATTTGCAGTCTTTCTACCTTGGGTTCCAGAGTAGCAGAGATTACAGGCATGTGAGACCATGATCTTTTTTTTTTTTTTTTCCCTCAGTTACTGGGGATTAATTCAGGACCTTGCACTTGTACCAGTAAGCTATACCCCTGGCCCCTGAGATTTTTTTTTTACATCATGAAAATATCCAGCTATCCAAAAAGAGGGAATGTACACATCACTCAGCTTCATCAGTGATCACCGTTTTAGCAAATATATTTCATGTTTTCCCATTTCCTTTTTTTTTTTTTTTTTTTGTGGGAGTGAAGTTTTTTAAGGCAAAGTCAGATATTAGGTCCTTTCATTTTTAAGAACTTCAATTGCAGTTTACTTTTTTTTTTTTTGAGACAAGATCTCAGTATGTATGTAGTTTGGGATAACATTAAACTCACCATATTGCCTAGTCTGTCCTTGAACTCACACTGATCCTCTTGCCTGTCTCCCAAGTACTGGGATTACAAGAGAGTGCAACCATGCTTGGCCAGTTGCAGTTTACTTTTACATATTGTATTTGATGGGTCAGGTAACAAAATCAACTGAAGGACAGCTATGCAGTTCTAAAATTTGGACTTGCAGACCTGTGCTGGATCAGTTACCAGGCTTATGTCAGTATCTGTAGAATGTGCACAGCTCATTAGGGACACATGATCTAGAAGAATGGTTCTTAAGTTATTTATATATTATGTATATTATAAGATGTATATATGCACACATATGCACTGTGTGTGTGTGTGTATATATATATATATATATATATATATATATATGTATACTTTTGCCCAAATTCATGGTGATCCTTTTGCCTCAGCCTCCCATTTGAGTATTGGGTTTACAGGTGTGCACTACCATGCTTGGCAGTGTTCTTAAATTTAACATACATCAGAATAACTTGTTAAAAACACAAATTTCTGAGCTTCATCCTGGAGTTTCTTTAGTAAGTCTCTGGAGGGACCTGGGAATTAGCATCTTTTACAAGTTCCCAGGGGATATCAATGCTGTAGGCCCATCAGCCTCACTCAGAACCAGTTATCTAGAAAACTGAGATTCAGCAGAGTCACGTTAGGAACCAAGAACATATCTGCCTGAGCTTGGAGTAGTTTAGACTAAATACATTTCCAACCTAGGAAGTCCTTCAACACTGGGTCTTAAGTTTGCCATCACAGCAAATCACCTTCAGAGTTTTTAACAAATTTCATACCTAGGATCTAGTCCCATGAAATTGCACTCTTTGGCTATGGAGGGGGCGCTGTGCATTGGTACATGTTAAAAACTCTTCAGGTAATTGCAGTACCACAGCCATCCTTATGACTTGCTGATCACAAAGCAACAGAGCATTTTTAACCTCTTAACTGATTACAGCCTTTATAATTGGACAGATGCATGTTTCAGTTTTTCCCCAAGCTCCATGTGGAGGGTACAGTGGGGCTGACCATTGTCTGGTATAGGATTGTGGGTCTTCAGGATTAGAAACAAGAATGGGAAAGGGCTAGGAGGTAGTGTTTTCCTACACTTCTGTTAGGATTATGATTGTATTTTTATATGGAGGGTAGGTTCCAACAAGTGAAGGCATTATTTTGGCTGTAACACAGAACATTTTTACTGGAGGATATTCAGTGCTATTCAAAGACTTTGTAAGTTAGATGTGATTCTTGTATAGTGGCTTCTAGTAATATTAATGTTTTTAAAAGAAATAATGACTCAATATGGGGAAGTAACTAGAGTCCAGAAAGAGTCTTGTGGTTCTTAACTCATGCAGATTGGTACAATGAAGAGTGTTAAAAAATAAACTAATGAGAGCACTTAGCATAAGCATTTGGCTCTACTACCATCACTTTTAACTCTGGGGATGTTGCAGCATTATGAGATGGAGTAGGCACTCCCTCTAGTCCTAATTCCTCAGTTCTATTTTTGTTCTTTGTTGCTGCTTTTGCCATTTGGGAGATTGAACCTAGGGCCTCAACAAGTGCTAGGCAAGTGCTCTACCTCTGAGCTACATCCCAGCCCTCCAACTGTAATGGTTAGAATGGGGCAGCAGCATCTTACATTTGTGTGCTTTCATGGTTGTTTATCTTTAAAGTGCTTCATTGAAAAATGTGTGCGTATGCATTGAAGTGTCCGAATATATGCATAATAGAAGTGTGCCAGTGTGTACACCACCCACATGTGAGTGGTAATGAAACTAGGTATTTGTTTTCCACAGGACAGTGACTTGTTATCATCACCACAGCACAGCCTGCCATCCCCAGCAGATCTTCAGTTGCTCCTGACATCCTTCTGCCTTGTCTCCCATTGTGGCCTCCTAAATGCCCATCACATTGGCCTGGGTTCAGCCAGTGGTATGGAGTGGTGCTGCCTAGCACTGCTCTGGGAGTGTGTGTGATCCACTGACCCAATGGTGAGAGCCAACTGCCCGCTGGCCCAGCTGATAAGGGATAGATGAGGCAAAGTGCAGGTCACACCTTCTGGTGTTTTCTGTCTTGCTTTTTTGGGAGGTGGAGTGGCTACTGGAAGGAGAAAGGGCCCAAAAAGCATTACTTGGTGCATATACATATGTAGGTGGGTTTTCTTGGGAAGGAAGAGAAGGGTTAAATACTTTGAGGCAGCAGTCCCCAGTCTTTTTAGTACCCAGGAAATGCTTTTGAGGAAGATAATTTTTCCACAGATTGGGGTTAGGGGGGTGGTTTAGGAATGATTCAAAGGCATGCACAACCTAGATGCTTCACACATGCAGTTCCTAATTGGGTTTGTGCTCCTATAAGAATCTGCTGCTGATAATCTGACAGAAGGTAGAGCTTGGGCATTAATGTGAGCAATAGAGAGTAGTTCTAAATGTGTTACAACTTTGCTTGCTGGCTTTCATTCATCTCCTGCCATGCAGCCCAGTTCCTAATAGTCTGCAGACCTGTGTTAGTCTGTGGCCCAGAGGTTTGGAGACCCTTGCTTTAAGGAATAGAAAAAGAGCAAGGAGACAAGAGAGCTTAGGCACACCTGGAGCTAGGTAATGATTAGGTAGTGACCCTAGAAGAGGCCAGCTTATATTAGAATTCAAATACACTGCCGAATCAGACTTGGCGTTTGTACCTGTCTCCCACTGGCTACTGGAGCCTTAGTCATTATACTGCACCTTAAGTCCAAAATTCCTATTATTTTCCTCTGTCCCACCGAGTGAAAATTAGGCCTTGGGAAGGTGAGGGGAAAGATACAAAGGGTTAAGGCCTCAGTTACTGTACCCTAATGGACCTTTTTCCATTCTTTGTGGGAGTCAATCTCCCATCCTCTCACTTTGCCCTGCTCTATGGAGTAACAGGGTCTTATTTCTCATCAGGACATCAAAGGCCAGTTCTGGAATGATGATGATTCAGAAGGAGATAATGAGTCAGAAGAGTTTCTGTATGGAGTTCAGGTGAGGCTCATTCTTTCAGGACTTACAAACTGGATACTGTAGATTTCACTATCTGGGTAGGTCAGAAAGATCTAAAAGAAATTGTCCTGGAGTGGAGGCAAGATGAAGATACAATGGTATGATTTGATTGTTGTCTTGTTAGAGTTGATGCTATGTCCTTGTTTCTGCTTGGGACTCTTCCCCATTCCAGAATAAATATATTTTTGTGGGTTTTTTGTTTCGTTTTTTTTTTTTTTTTTTGGTATCAGAGATCAAACTGACAATCTTGCATTTGCCAGGCAGATGCTTACATCACTGAGCTAAATCCCCAGTCAAGAGTAAATATGTTCTGTACATGAAGGATACCCCTATGTTCTTAGTCAGAAATAATTATTTTCTGACTTTTCTCACTAGTCAGGGTCATTTCATTCATTAGGGTCAGCTGTCCTGGTGATTGCCAGTTATCATTGCTTTGACTCCTAGAATGCTTTTCAGATAGAACCGGTCGGAGTTAAGCTCTTCAGCTTATTCTGAGTTTTCCTAGGTCAGGGGCTGAGAAGACAGGCTGGAAATGTGAGGAGGTGACCTCCTTAAGCAAGGCCTGCATTTGGTCTGCTGAAACTCCTCGCATAGTGATGGGATGAACTCCTTCGCTGGAGCCACCACAAGGATCCCTTTGTAGAGTGGCTTTCACATCCATGTGACTGCTGTTTGTGTTCTTCTGTCCCTTTTGACTCTTCTTTTTTTCTTTATTTTCCTCTCTTTTCTCCCCTCTTAACACCACCACTTTTTTGCTCTGTCAGGGGAGCTGTGCAGCTGATCTGTACCGACACCCGCAGCTCGATGCAGACATTGAAGCTGTGAAGGAGATCTACAGTGAGAACTCTGTATCTATCAGGTGGGAGTCCACCCAGGGGCCTCAAGAGAGCCAGCCTCTTGTTTCTGAGTTATTGGGATAAATGATGAGGTTAATGATAGAAGTTGCTTGGAATAGTAGAAGTTCCCTCTTACCCTAAACTCTTCTATGCCAAGATAAGAAGGACTTGGGCCCCAAAGGAACCTTGAATATGAGTGGCTTAGGCTGTGTAACTAAGACCCTAAATCAGAACTACCTTCCAGGCTTCCCTTTCCCCTGTCCCCAGGCTCAGTGTCCCTCTGCCTTAATCTCTGTGCTCTCCTTTTTCCCTGTGACTCACGTGTGTTGCCTGTGTCTCTGTAGAGAATATGGAACTATCGATGACGTGGACATCGACCTCCACATTAATATCAGCTTCCTCGATGTAAGTGGTGCCATACCTACCAGTGACATGTCTGTGAGGACTTGTGGATTTTGTCATGTAGGACAGAAGTCTTGTTTCTGAGTACTGTATTAGAGCGTATATTCTTCATCTCTGTCTTTCCTAGACTGTCAACAGACAGTGGTGTGTGCTGTAATAGCATGTGTACGTCATAGATGGGAAACTACAAGGCCATTCTTTGTTGTATCTGCAACTATTTCCCTCATTCTTTCAGGAGGAAGTATCTACCGCCTGGAAGGTCCTCCGGACAGAACCTCTTGTGCTGAGGCTGAGATTTTCTCTCTCCCAGTACCTTGATGGACCAGGTAAAAGCAGTAACTTTAGGCAAATGGATACTCTTGAGTGTGGTCTTAATCGAAGTGAAGAAAAAGCAGGAATAGAGGCCTAGATCTCAATGTACAGGTTATTAATAGGGACACCTTCAGTTTTCTGTCAGTGTTTTTATTTTCACTGACCTGACAGTTTTCCCCTACAGCCCTTCTTGGTTAATGAATTTGGTTTTTTTGATTCCAAGGTATATCAGTGACATCTCCTCCTTCAGCTTCCTATTAAGGGTGTTTGAGATTGATTAGACTGGTTTCAGAATCTACCCTCTGTTTCAGAAGATTTCCCCCACCACTATTATTGCTTAGAGTATCCAGCTGATACTGATTTAAGAATTTAAGGAGATGGTTCCAGTGGACCATGATTCTGGACTCTGAAGAGGACAGAAATGTGTCCATACAAAAAATTTTCTTTTTTTCTTTGCAGAACCATCAATTGAGGTTTTCCAGCCATCGAATAAAGAAGGGTTTGGGCTTGGTCTTCAGTTGAAAAAGTAAGAACTTTGATTTTTCTGGTCGTGGACTTGTGAGAGAAAGAGAGTTGGTTGCCTGTGTTAGTCAGCTCTCCATTACAATCCAAAATCTTAAGTTTAAAAGGAGAAAGGTCTATGTGGCTTACAGTTTCAGAGGTTTTAGTTCATGGTCACTTGGCCCTGTTGTTTGGGCTGTGGCAGCACTGACATCATTGCAGCAACATGTGGTGAAAGAACTCTGTTCATTTGGTGACTCTTGGGAAGCAAAAAAATTAAAAAACAAAAACAGTGAGGTCCCCTTCAGGGCTACCCCCCCAATGTTGTGTCTTCCCACTAAGTTGGGGAGGTGGCCAACTCCCCACCTTAGTTCTTCCCACTAAGGTGCTTTGACCTCCCCGTAGTCCTGCAATGGGGACCCAGCCTTCATAATTAGCTTCAGGATCCAGACTATAAGAGGACATGGATGGACAGGCAGAGCCTTGGATGGAGCGTTGCCTTTCAGAACTGCCACGGTCAACTTGAAGAAGTTGATAAGGAGTTAGATGAACAACATAGAATATCACAGATGATAAGGATTTAGATGAACAACATGGAATAATATCACAGATGATAAGGATTTAGATGAACAACATGGTAGAACCAATCAAGGACAAGGGAAAGGATGAATGATTCTGGCTGGGAGTTGGGAGCCATAAATTTAGGAGTGTAATTTTTCTCCCAGCAGCATTATTACTTGTTGTGTCCTTTTCTTCTCTATGCACAAAGCAGCATGTGATATTCATCTTCATCACACCACGTCTGTTCTTCTACTCTCAGTGTAGTCATCCCTCACAGTAAATACAGTAAACCCCTGACTTATGGATGAGTTCTGTTCCAGCAGAACTGTTCGTAAGTTGGTTTCCTTTCTAAGCTGACACAAGTGAGTCTTACAGAATACACCTGTGCAATCTCTCACCTCCAGTATTTGTTAAGTCGGGAATTTATTGTATCAGACTCTATAGTTCTTAAAGCCTAACTGTGAGATCTTTCTCTAAGAGCAGAGTATCTCAGAATTGTTCAGCTTGTTGACAAGGTAATGAGAGTGTGTTTCCTTCCTGTGGTATATGAGATGCTTCATGATAGTGCATTTCCATGTGACAAGGTCTTACCAAGAAAATCTTCAGGCTCACACTCCCCCACCACAGTTAGCTTTGCTGTTCTTGGGTGTGAGTTTGAGGTTAGTTGCTTCTCAGTCCTTGTTTCTTGGCCTCCTCCTCTGCCTGATTGTGCCTAAGCCTGTTTTATGTGATCCCTCAGGATCCTGGGTATGTTCACATCACAACAATGGAAACACCTAAGCAACGATTTCTTGAAGACCCAGCAGGAGAAGCGGCACAGTTGGTTCAAGGCAAGTGGTACCATCAAGAAGTTTCGAGCTGGCCTCAGCATCTTCTCACCCATCCCCAAGTAGGTGCTTCTCTAGAGCTGACCTTTTCTGACACCTCAGTTTTGTCACAACCCCACACTCACCTTTTTGAGTACCTAATTTAATCTCCATCTTCTTCCTGGGTCTTTTAAATTCTGTACTAATACCACTCATGCAGTCCTCTCCCTTTTGTGTCCTTATTCTACTCCCGATCCAGTGTTCATATCTCATCCATTTTGTAAAACAAAATCACACCTGGCTTGTGGCATGTGACCATGTGTGCTGGTCTTCCTACGTGTCCTTCTTTGGCTCTCCTCTTTATTCCCCATCTTAGATAGCAGAGTGTGAGTCCAGGTACCAACTCCTTGCTTTTGTACAAGAGTGCATTGATTTATTGACTAGGTTCTGGAAATAAATATTGCTGCATTTTTCAGGCACTCTCTAGTGCCTTCTGATCATCTCAAATGTGGATGAAAACCTAGTTTTGCAGTGTCATAGGCACCATTATTGTCAGATGGTTGACAGTCTTAAAGGTTCGTCTCCTTCTTGCCTTCTACAGTGTTTAGCACTGAATCCATTCCTCTCACAACAAAGTGACACAGGCATCTTCACCAAGGAATCACTGCATACCTGCCCTCAGTGCCATAATAATTTAGGCTCTGCCTCTACCTCCTGCTATGTCTTAGGCTGAAGAACATTCAGATGGTGATAGAAAAATCAGTGTAGTTACTTTATTTTTTTGGCAGTGTGTAAAATCTTACGGAACTTTCCTCTGATTGGAATCTCTCTTTGGCTTAGATTTTGGACCTAGGATTTACTTACCTCCAATTCCCTTCTAGGATGTACAACGAATCCCTAGTTTTGTAGCTTCTTTCCTTTTGTTCTGTCTCCCCAGGTCTCCCAGTTTCCCTATCATTCAGGACTCCATGCTGAAGGGCAAACTGGGTGTACCAGAGCTTCGAGTTGGGCGCCTCATGAACCGTTCCATCTCATGCACCGTGAAGAACCCCAAAGTAGAGGTGTTCGGCTACCCTCCTAGCCCCCAGGCAGGTCTCCTGTGCCCCCAGCACGCAGGCCTCCCTCCCCCAGCATGGACTTCTCCTTTGATACATGGGCTGGGGAGGGTTTGACTCAGGCACCAGGAAGATGGGAGTGGAAACGTAGGAAATTAGCTTTTGAAAATGGGTGGAAGTGTGGTTGTCTGGCCTTTGTAAGTCAGTCCTGGGCATGTACCCTGAGTGGGTAGAATGGAACACATTTTGTTAATGTCTGAAAACTTCTCACCTGGGGGCTGGGGATTTAGCTCAGTGACATAAGCACCTGCCTTGCAAGCAGGCGGTCATGAGTTCGATTCCCGGTACCGATAAAAAAAAAAAAAACTTCTCACCTGACTGACTCTGAATCAGAGAGTCTGGAGATGGTATCCTGCAGAGAAACTGCATATAATTTAACTAGGTTATGTTTAGAACTTGGTAAGGCAGCTGCTGTGCAAACCTCTGTCTTTCAAGAAGGTTAAGGATGAGTGAGCACTTTCCTAGAATCTCTGACACAAATGGGTGAAAATCTTCTCTCCAGCTGTGGGATTCCTTGCACTAAGTTTGAGTGGTTTGAGCTAAGGATTTGCCAGCTTAGGAGATTCCTAAGTGATGGTGGTGGGAGAGGAGAAAGAATTGTCTGGGCCTTGTTTTATAGGAGACTCATACAGCTTGTCTTTCACATTTATTAGGTCAGTGGTCACTGTAAGAACATCCCCACCCTGGAGTATGGATTCCTTGTCCAGGTAAGCAAGTCCATGGCTTTGCTCCAGGGCGCCTCCCATTGTCTGGCCTGTTTGATTCCCTGAGATCACCCAACTCCTCACTCACTTTGCTCCCAGGACCATGCCAAGTGTAGAGTGGATAGGAGAGAAGAAGGCACAGTTTATTCATGAGACACCCACGGTGTCAGTGGGATCACACACAGGGCCCTCAGGGTCAGCAGATGAGGCGCTGTGAATGTTAATTGTATGGTGTTGCGATGAGAGTTTCCATGGGATCCCCAGCATCACTTATCTAGTGTCTGCAGTTTGTCTCACAGGCTGCTGTCACTGCTCATCCATTACTGGTCATTGATTCTTTTTGAAGTCACTTTATTCTCTTGATAACTTTTACTGCATTACTTCTGTCATGCTGTTCCCGCAACCTGCGTCTTCCTAGTTCTGCTCATTGCAGTCAAGGCTCAGATGCTACCTTTTCCATCGGATCTTTACCACACTCCAGCTGGACTGGCTGGACATGACTTCTTCCTCCTTGACCTTGTGTGATTCTTTTCATTTATGTAGCACCTATGTATCACGTGCCATGTGGTTCCTTGGACTGTAAATAATTTGCATACATGCCACATCTCCAATTAGAGTTTACATCTGAGAGCATAAAACATAACCTTTTATATATTGCATAGTCAAGACTTTCCACAGAACTGAATATATAGTAAGCATTTGGTAAATTTGCATTAAATAAACTAATAAGTCAAAAGCTTATGAAATGGGAACAACCTGATTTCTGTATCAAACCTTCATTAAGGTGGTGTCAAAACAAACACTTGTGCATATTGTTGTATGAGCTCTGGATCTGTGCCATCTTCCCAGCACTGAATTGTGTCTGGTTTGACCAGCGGGCTGGTTAATAGTTCTAGGGTTGAAATGGCCCACCCCCCACCCTATCTGACCTTGGATTGAATACTTACCTATCCTGAAGGGATGCTCTGTAATTACTACTGCTGCAGTTGATAGTTTTTTTTTTTTTGTTTGTTTTTTTGGTATCAGGGATCAAATTCACAATCTTGTATTTGGCAGGTATTGCGGTTGGTAGTTTGATTAGCATCTGCTTATATTTATAAAATACCTTTATGGTCCTAATCTTATTTGACTGATGAATGAGGTATGAATCATGTCTTACTTTATAAATGAATCAATCAAAGGGTAGCTCAACTGATTTGCCTACATTATATTTGGAGCTAAACAGTATAGGTGGGATATTAATCTACTATTTTCTTTTCTGTCTTTTTGAGACAGGGTCTCACTATGCAGTTTAGGCTAGCCTTGAACCCACGTTCAAAGCCCAGGCTGGCCTTGAACTAGCAGTAGTCTTCCTGCCTTAGCCTCTCAAATCCTGGGATTATAGGCATGTACCACCATGCCTAGCTTTAACATAGAATTTCTAATCAAAGGCCATAGCTCATTTTTGTCAGAGTGTACAGACTCAACTATGCAGGCTGTACAGATATTAGTTTAACCCTGTACAGGGCTCAAGAGTAATAGAGCCTCAAGAGAGGAAGGTAGCTAGAAAAGAAGTTTAAATTATTTCCTATGTCTCAAACACTTAGCAAACACTTCCTGTGTCTGTGCCTGTATTTCAAAAGCTATAGATGGGCTGAGGATATAGCTCAGTGATGTAGTTGCTTGCCTGCCAAGTGCAGGGTCCTGAGTTTGATTCCCAGTGCCAAAAAAACAAAACAAAGCAAAACCTGAATCCATGCTTGCTTCAGCAGCACATATACTAAAATTGGAATGATCCAGAGATTACCATTGTCTCTGCACAAGGGTGACACGTAAAGTTGTGAAACAGTCTCCATGTATCTTTTGTGCTAACACTGATTGGAGAAATTTCAATGCCCATGTCTGGTACTGAATAACTACTTTGAAGATAACAATATGCAATGTATTAACTATAGTTTTTCTCCTATTATTTTATTGTGAATGCTTGTTTTACCTTTTTTCCACAAAAAAACAGTGAAAAAAGAAACTAAAGACAGATTCTGCTTTTTTTGCAGATCATGAAGTACGCAGAACAGAGGATCCCAACGCTGAACGAGTACTGCGTGGTGTGTGATGAGCAGCATGTCTTCCAGAATGGGTCCATGCTCAAGGTGTGGCCCTCTCCGTGGCCCTGCTCTTCCCTCAGGACCCCTTCACACCTCTCCTTTCTTCCTGGGCCTACAGTAATGGAAAGATTCTTCCTGTATTTCCTGAGGTGTTAGAAGTAATCATTACCTGGCAAATAAGTCTCATCTGTCCTGTTTAGAGAGATGGGAATATTTTGGAGGACAAAGTTCCCATCTTAATTTAGAAATAAGGATCAGGCATTGAACCATTGAGCCAGTGGATTTGATGTGGCGGCATCCTCAGGTGTCCCAAGTCAGGGTGGGTAAAAAATACTTAACTGTAAGTCACACTGTTAAATACAGACATAGGAGGGGCTAGGGATTTAGCTCAGCGGCATAAGCGCCTGCTGGCAAGCGTGAAGTTAATGATTTCAATCCCCGGTACCAAAAAAAAAAAGAAAAGGAAACAAATACAGAGGGAGTAGTAGTGTTGTGGAAACTCAGAGGAAAACCTCTGACTGCCTGGAAGGGAAGGCTTTACAAATAGACAGCTTAGCTTAAAGATTTACCCAAAAAGTTTTCAGGGAAAGCTTCATTCACTGATAGTTTCCTCCTAGCATACAGGGCACCATATTCCTACCTTATTCTAGAATTCACTAAGGTCTGGGGCCCTTTCTCCCTTCGCAGTCCCCATCCTCACAGTCTGTCAAATGTGTCTACCCAGCCAGCTGTCTGTACCCGAGAACTGTGTGTCTTCTCCTTCTACACCCTGGGGGTCATGTCTGGAGCTGCCGAGGATGTGGCTACTGGAGCAGAGGTATGGAGATTGGGATTGATCAAGGCAGGGAAGCTGGATGTGGTGATGCATGCCTGTAATTCCAGCTACTCAGGAAGCCGAGGCAGGAGAATTGCAAGTTCTAATTCAACTTGGGCCACTAGGTTGAGATCCTGTCTCGAAAAGCTGAGATGTAGCTCAGCATCAATGGATTCAACCCCTAGTACTTTTTTTTTTTTGGGTTCCAGTACATTTTTAAAACTATAAAACAACAAGGAGAGGCTGGGCATGGTGGCACACTCCTGTAATCTCAGCATGTAGGGAACTGAGGCAGGAGGATTGCTGCAAGTTTGAGGCCAGCCTGAAATGAATAGTGAAACTCTCTCTCAAAAGGAGAAAGAAACCAAGAAATAGATACAACTCCAACTGTAATGGGTCCAGCTAAATTGTGGCATGTCCTTAAGTGAAAATACTCTACAATTATTATTTATGGATAGAAAGTTGTAACATACAGTAATATTAGAAAGCAAATACAATAGCTGGGCATGGTGGTCACACCTATAATCCCAGCACTTGAGAGGCTGAGGCAAGAGGATCACTGCGAGTTAGAGGCCAGCCTTGGGCTACAAAGTGAATTCAGGGTCAACCTGAACTGTATAGTGAAACCGTGCCCCCCCCCCCAAAAAAAAAAAAGAAGAAACAAAACAAATACAGGGCTTGGCATGGTGGCGCATGCCTGTAATCTCAGTTCTTGGGAGGTTGAAGCAGGAAGATTGCTTTGGCTACATATGTCGTCTGGCTGCATAGTTCAAGGTCAGCCTAAAGTATAGTGAGTTCCTGTCTCCAAAAGCAAATACAGAACGTGGCTTGGAGGTGCAGACCTGTCTTCCTACCTGCGTAAGAGCTGGAAATAGAATTACTTGATGGCAAGACTTACACATACTTAGAATGCATGAACACTGGCTTCAGCCTCCAGCAGGCAAGAAGGGAAGGGATGGAGGCAAGAAGAGAGATTTCTTGGAGGTGGTATTTACCTTTTCTTTCATCCCTGGGCTGTTTCTTGACTTTTTATAATCTTGTATTTTCTAAACAAAAAGCCATAAAAGTATTTGCTTTTAGAAGGAGCAGCAGGGAGAAATGCTAGGTACAATGGGACTTGTAAAATTGAGCATCCTTTAGCTCTGTTACCGTCCTTTGCTTCCCTTTTCAGGTAGTGGACCTGCTGGTGGCCATGTGTAGGGCTGCTCTGGAGTCCCCGAGAAAGAGCATCATCTTCGAGCCTTACCCCTCTGTAGTGGACCCCACTGATCCCAAGACTCTGGCCTTTAACCCTAAGGTACAGTTGCTCGGGAACAAGTTGGGACTGAGGAATAGAGCTGCTGAGAGAGTAGAATACTACAGGCTGTCGCAGGTTTTACACAAGAGGTTAGCATGAGCTTAGCACCTGAGTTTAGCACAGGTTTTACACAAGAGCTCCATCTCCCCAATGGAGCAGTTCTCTTGTTTCTTGGCAACTCTTGATGCCAGCATTTAGCTATGTCAGTGAACAAACAGCTGAGTTTGTCTAAAGAAAGCAGAAAAATTAACGCCGGTTACACTCTGATGGGAAGAATGTAGGTTCTGGTGCAAACCGATAACGGTTCCACATGAGGCTCTTCTGCTCCTGGTGGAACATTAGAGAAATTGCTTAACTGCTGAACTTCAGTTTCCCTACCTGTAAAGGAGATTGTTAAAATTATAAAAGATAAATAGAAGTATTTATAACTCTGGATAGTGTGTTGTTTATCTAGGAGATGACCTAAGTATTCTGCCCTCTACCTGCCCAGCTCAAATATGACTTTTTATGATCTGTTTCTCCGGAGAACACACAACTCAAGTATGCACGTATATGTATGCACACACATATACATAGACAGGTATGTAAAGGAGAGGAAAAGGCTGATTAGAAGGAGTTGCCCATATGGTGATGGAGGCTTAGAAGTCCTAGCACCTGCAGTCAGCCGGCTGGTGTCCCAGAAGAGCCTGTGGTGTGTATGGCTCCAGTCCCAATCCACAAGCCTGAGAACCAGGAGAGCCAGTGCTTTAACACATTCATCAAGAGGTTGTAATCTGTATGTCTCGATGCTGGATGACTTGGTCCCATGCATGACTAGACCACTTCTACCACTGGTGGTACAAGCTGCCCAATGGGACAGTCATGCATGTACCACTGATGGTTCAAGCCATCAGGAATGTGGTAAGTGCCAAGAGCCAAAGGCTTATGATGCACAAGAGTCAGTTTTGTAGTTCCATTCCAAAGGCAAGAAAAGGCTGATGTGCAGTTAGGTGGTCAGGAAGAGAACCCTCTGTTCGAGGGCAAGATGCAGTGAGGTTAGCTTTTTGTTCTGTTCACATCTCCAGTTACCTGGATGAGATCCTTCCACGTTAGGGAGGGCAGTGTACTTTACTTACTCTGTTGATGACATGTGAATCTGAACCAAGAACACCCTCAGAGACACACCCAGAAATAATATTTGGCTGTGGGAAACCAGCCTGCTAGGAATGCCTAACTGTAGGGGGCAAACAAATTAAAGACGAGATACAGATAACTTTCAAAGAGGGGCTGGGGTCTCCTGCCTCTAGTGGACAAAGAGCCCTGAGCATCTAGCTCATCTTGCTATTATCCAAGTTAGGCAAGTGAGTGAGCAAGCAATTAGTTAAATGAAAATTCATCCATTTCTCATTATTTGCAAAGTGTACGCGGGTAGGCATTTCTCTAAACTAGATCTCAGCTACTGTTGACTTCTTCTCTGGAACTTGCTATGTCCCAGTTTACCAGCAGATTGTCAGAGGGAAAATAGCTTGCTCTTCTGTCCTCCATATCTACAGGGGAGGTTATTGACTAAGCTTCGATCCTTCTGACCAGTTTGCCAAACATGTTAGACACCTGTGGCTCAGTCAGGTTGACTGATAAAATTAATCATCACGAGTATATAGCAAGGCACCTCCCTGTTCCTGTCCTTACTGTATATCAGGCACCACTCTAAGTTCTTTACATACATTATTTCATCCTTGGAACATTTCCATGAGTGTGGTAGGAATTGTTATTTACATTGGCAAATGGGGCTGGGGATGTAGCCCAGTGGTAGAGGGCTTGGCTGGCATGCCCGGGGACCTCGGGTTCCATCTACAGTGTTGCAAAAATTTTATAAAAATAAGCAAAAAATTATTTTCATTTGCAAGTAGGGATGCTAAGTATCTAAGAGGCTAATGACTTCCCCTGTTACTTCTGCATGGTGAGAGACCTGGCACTTGGCCCACAGCTGTCTGATGTTGAATCTGTCTCTTTCCGGGGCACCCGGCTTTGCTTCCTAAGCCCTGACTTCTTTTGCACACCTTACCCTTTTTATTTTCATGTCTTTCTCTGTCTTATGCTTTTCTTCACATGGTTCTTTTCCCATTAACTCTCTGCAGAAGAAGAATTATGAGCGGCTTCAGAAAGCTCTGGATAGTGTGATGTCCATCCGGGAGATGACCCAGGTATTCTGCCCTCTGTGTGTCCCCTGCCCTGTGCCTGACCAGTCAAGTCCCATATTCTCTTTGTGATCTTTGGGTGTGCAGTTTAGAAAAGCTACTCAGAGGGCTGTATTTTTTTAGCTGTATTGCTCTGTAACCTTCCCAATTCTCATTCTTTGTTTTGTTAGTTGACTTTTAATTTTCTTCACTCTAGTGTTTTTTTCAGCGTTTACCTATGCTGTTAATTTCTACATGGTTATTTGTATTCATTGATTTCTGTAATTATTAGGGAATTGAGGGAGAGACCTCACCCCAAGTTTGGAGGAGGGTGAGGGGGATTTGGAAGTAAGGAATGACACTCAGAGGCCCACATCTTCTGTCCTTCTTGAGGGGGGAGGGCAGCCACTTGGAGCAGTGCTTCAGCTGGCCCACACCTCACCTGCAGCTTCTACATGAGCAGAAACTCTTTTGTACTCAGATTTACAGGTGGGCATCTCCTCAGAAGTCCTAGACATCGCAGTTCAGTGTAGCACATAGTACACTCCTCAGAGGGAAGATTTATTTGTCCAAAGGACTTTACATAATACAAAGATTTACCGTGGGATTCTTTTTGCCCTAATCTTATTTTCTGATTTAGAATGTATTTTTTTATTTACAAACTCTTTAGGGCTATAGGAATTGCATAAAATGAGTGAGACCCACCTGCATGTTGTTTTGTAAGCATCTTCAGTCATTTCACGTTTACTTACGATTCCCAGCCTGACATGGCTCCTTGAGGGTAGAAGTCCCACGTTGTATGTCCACCATGTGGCCCTTGCTGCCTGTCTCACCTGGACCCTGCAGCTCTATGCAGAGTGGGAGGGCTCCTGCCCCTGCTGGGAGGTAATCTTATGGCCATTGGCTTTCAGGGTTCATACTTGGAAATCAAGAAACAGATGGACAAACTGGACCCCCTGGCCCATCCTCTCCTGCAGTGGTATGGCTAGGATGGCTCGGCCTTCCTGGGGCATGGGAAGGAGGGAGAAATTGGATGCAAAGCCAACTCTTTTTCCTAGAGGCAGCTACACATGCTTCATGAGGCTATAGGCACACTTTTCCAGTTTTCATGGATTTCTGCTACTGATATACTTTGCCTTAATAAGAATTCAGATCTTACAAAGAGCTCACAAATTCTCATATGATTTCTCTAGTTCTCTTTATGCCATGTTTCCCAAAGGTTTGTTTTCTTGTTTATTTATCTTTATCTTTTTGAAACAAGGTTTCACCATGCAGTTCTGGCCTTGAACTCACTTTATAGCCCAGGCTGGCTTCAAGCTCTCAGTGATCCTCCAGCCTCAGTCTCCCAAGTGTTAGGATTATGGGTGGGTGGCACCACACCTGGCTGTTAAATTTTTTTTTTTTTTTTTTTTTTTTTTTTTTTTTGTGCCTGGAATTGAATTTAGGACCTTGTACTTGCCAAGCAGGGGCTATACCACTGAGCTATATCCCCAGCCTGTTTAATCTTTTAATTGACAAATATTGTATATTTTTGCCATGTGCAACATTATATTTTGAAATAGGTATATATTGTGGAGTGGCTGGCTAGAGCTGATAACATTTATTGCTTCATTCCACTACTTTTTAAGTAAGAATACTTAAAATTTGCCCTTTTTTTTTTGAGACAGGTTTTGAACTTGCAGTTGTCCTCTGGCCTCAGCCTCCCAAGTGGGATTACAGACATGTGCCACCACACCCTGCTAGTTTTCTAGAAAATAAAATATCATTAACTGAGTCACTACCAGTTGGGTTTTGAGGGTTCCTTGCGTGCAGGAATTAGCACTGTTCATTGCAGCTACGTCTTCTGTGCCTCCAGAGAGATGCATCTCTCCCTACCATTTGCTTTCCTTGTCTAGGGCCTTCCCTGACTGGGCAGAATGACCAGAGCCTGAGGTGCTACTATTGTCCCTTTTGACTTCCCTGCACCCTTCCTCCCTGCTCTTGTTTTCCTGGTACCGTTCCTTTAGCTGGCTGCTCTTCCTGGTTAGCCTTTGTAGCAGGACTTCCTAGTGCCACAGTGTCCTCCCTGTCAATATGAGGACAGAGCAGGCAGTGACCACCCGGGCATCAGGAGGACACAAAAAACGCCCCAAAAAAGCTGTCCCCTGCAGGACAGTGCTGTCTTCTGGGCTGTCTGTGCCTTTTGCCTTTCGTCTGTCCTCTGTAGTCCACTGTACACAGCCAGGTCTGTCCCTGACTCCTTAAAGAGTTCATTCTAGTTTCTTTTGTCTTTTTTCAGCTTAGATAGTAACTGTCTCTTCTTCCCCTTCCTTGAGACTAAACCCCAGGGGTACATTGTCTCTATCCTAATTTCCACCTTTCCCTTCTACTTTTATTTTTTAAATAGGTGACTTTATTATTTTATTTTTTGAGATAAGGTCTTGCTGTGTAGTTCAGACTGGCCTTAAACTCACTGTGTGGCCAAGGCTGGCCTCAAACTCCAGCTGCTGCTCCTGCCTCGACTTCCTGAGTGCTGGGATTACAGGCATGCACTACTATGCCTGGCTAATAGAGTGTGACTTCTTGACTCTTCCTTTTGTTTCATCCTTTTTGCCTCCCTTGATATGGGAGCCCACCTCCTACCCTTGCCTTTCACCCACTGTTGTAACTCGCTGACCTCTGATCAGTAGGTTCCCCTTTAAATTGTTAGACACAGGTGTTGTCTTTCAGAAAGGCTCTCCAGAGCTGATCAGGTTAACGGTTCAGACAGCCCGGGAAGCTCTCTTTGTTCTCCCAAGGTCATAGAAGTCTCGAGTTCAGGAGAGTTTAGCCACACACTTACCCTACGCTGTCTCTTTGGCCTCTGTTTCTTCCCAGGATCATCTCCAGCAACAGGTCACACATTGTCAAACTACCTCTCAGCAGGGTAAGTGCTAATGCTCCCTCTAATGCCTCCAGCTTTCTGGGGAGGGGAGCGGAGGGCTGTGAGCCAGCCGACCACACTGGTCCTAGATTTGCCTGCCTGGCCCTGTCCATTGGCAGAGTCTGGGCCTCTCATGTTTCCTTCATTTGGGGTCAGCGCTAGCCTGATGTGTTCCCTCCCTGATCTCGGTTTCTGTTCTGTTTCCCTGGCCCCGCCCCACCCTGGGCAGCAGCTGAAGTTCATGCACACCTCACACCAGTTCCTCCTGCTGAGCAGCCCTCCAGCCAAGGAGGCTCGGTTCCGGACCGCCAAGAAGCTCTATGGCAGCACCTTCGCCTTCCAGTGAGGAGAGAGCCCGGGCAGCCTGGGAAGGGTGGTGGGGTCCCTGGAGGAGCTGCATGTGTGCAGCAGACTTGTGTCGGTCACCTAGTTCGTGAGAAGTTAGCAAATGCTATTGTAGGTGCTGTAGAGGATGAAAGGATTGCGTGAGGTCTCTTATGTTCAGGTGCTCACAGTTGAACAGAAATGACATTTATGTGTGAAAAGAGGGAGTCGAAGGAATGGATTGGAAGGGATAGATTTGAAAGGAAATCCACAATTTATGCCTAATTGTGGGAGGCAAGAAGGAAAAATATATTAAAGATAACTCGGAATGGTAGTACCATTTCCTTAAAATAGAATGCAAAGCCTGCAGTGGAAGCCTTATTTGGGATCAGTGATAATTTTGCATAGTTTGAGATGAATTTGTTGCATTGGAAATATCAGGAAGAATAGGCAGATGACGACCACTGAACCAGCAGTTGAGGGGTGAGAATGTGATTCACTGAAGAGTAGTAGGAATGGCACTGGTGGTGAAGATGCAGGGTTTAACCATGTGCATATGTAACCTGCGTGCTGTGCCTGCATGCGTGAGCATGTGCATATGCATCCCAGAGGAGATCTCTGTGGGTTTGGGTGGCTGGAAGTGGCTTCTTGGAAGTGCATCTGGGAGCCTCTTATCAAAAGGAGGCCTGTCTTCTGCCCTGCCTTGCAGTGGGTCCCACATTGAGAACTGGCATTCGATCCTGCGCAATGGGCTGGTCAATGCATCCTACACCAAACTGCAGGTGAGGCTGTTCTCCTGCTCTGCAATTTCCTAGTCCCCTCGGTTTGCAGAGGCTGCTGTAGAGCACTCAGCTGGTTTTGCCTCTGCCCTCCTCCACCCTAGCCTGTACTGGGAGCTTCCCTAGAGAAGAAGTTGTTGGAATTGGATGCAGGAAATAAGTGTGACCTACCTGTTGGAACGTGGGCTGTGTGTTTCAGTGGTGTCAGGAGTGGGTATGTACCTCTAGGAGGAATGTAGATTTGCTGACTGCAGCCACTGTGATGAATTCTCCTAGTACACAGAGCTTCTATCTTCCATGGCTGTTCGAGGACTCACTATGAATACTTGTGCTTTCGCCTGAGAGACTGCAAGGGGTGGTGCTGCTACTGCTGGTTCCCTGCTCTGTAGTTCCTTTGTTAGGGGATTTGCACATGTGCCAGTGCCAGGGACCAGGAGTGTGGGTGCTGCGAAAATGACTGTCCCACCACTCCCCATGCTAGGATGTCCTAGGCAAACAGTTTAACCTGAATCCACTTTTCAGACAGCTCACATTGCTAGAGTAGGGGCCTAGAGTGTTTGAGAAGGTAGTTGGAGGGACAGAGGACTGGATAAGCCCTCTGGATGCCTAATGTATAGCCATGGGCGGGCCAGGCTCATGTGTTCATCCTGGTATTTCCCTGCAAGCTGCATGGAGCAGCCTATGGCAAAGGCATCTACCTGAGCCCCATCTCCAGTATTTCCTTTGGATACTCAGGTAAGAAATATGCTCTGGCCACTGTGACTATATTTACATTGCATCCATTCGTAAACACCTGATGTGTGTTGTCTGCTTCTCCCCATTGTGGACACCCTTTGGTCTCAGTCCTCTCCCTAGTCATGGATACATAACCTGTCTTTCTCTCGCTTTTTCTCTTTAGTCTTTATCCAGTAAGTCACTGTTACAAATGGTAGTTTTCTTCATTGTAGGGCCTTGGCCTTGAGAGTGGTTTAAGGACTACCCAGAAAGTGAAACAAGGCTTCCTAAGCCACAATTTGTGTATTGGCAGTTAAAGATTGTGTTTGTGTGTGCACGTGCACGTGGCTTTGTGTGCGAAGACGAATTATGTGGGAAGGCTTGAGTCCTTTGTATTGGCTTATGTTTCTGGAGATGTTGTTCTTTCTCTCAGTTAGCGTTTAAAATTTAACCTGACCTGGGCATGGTGGCATCAACCTATACTCCCAGCACTCCAGGAGGCTGAGGCAAGAGGATCACAACCCAGCCTGTGTAACTTAGGGACTTAGTGAGACCCTGTCTCAAAAAATGGGGTCTGGGGATATGGCTCAGTGGTTGCACTCATGTCTTCCATGACAAGGCCCTGGGCTCCGTGCCTAGCACATACATGCACACAGAAAACTAATAAAAATAAAAAAGACTGAGGATGAGCTCACTGCAAAGGCCCTAGGTTCAATCCCCAGAACTGAAATCAGTCAGTCAGTCAGTTAATACAGTTTATGCTGTATCTAATAGTTGAATTTTAAAATATTCACAATGAATGAAAAGAAGGCATTTTATCCTAAAGATAAGACATGAACAAGGTTCAGATTCTATTGAGGAGATAGTTGCAATCTTGTCTACCTTAGGAAAGCAATCTGATTAGAATTTTTTCCTGCTGGGCGTGGTGGCACATGGACACCTGTAATCCCAGCAATCTGAAGCAGGAGGATTGTTTTGAGTTTGAAACCAACCTAGGCTACAAAGTGAGCTCAAGGCCAGCCTGAACTGCATAGTGAGACTTTGTCTCAAAAAGACCAAAAAAAGAACTTTCTTCTTCCAGGTTCATGCCTTAGCACCTATTCAGTTGCTTTTTTCTTGTTCAGTGTGGCCGCCACATAAATGATGACCACCATGTTGCCATCATGTCCACTTGATGAAGGTACTAGATTCTCTATGAATGATTTAGTATTTTGCAGTAATTGTAGCTGTTATAAAGTTAACAAAATTGGAGCTGAGTGTTTAGCTCAGTAGCATAAGCGCCTACCTGGCAAGCTTGAGGTTGTGCATTCGATCCCCAGTACAAAAAAAAAAAGAAAAAAGAAAGCCAGGCATGGTGGTGCACACCTGTAATCCCAGCACTTGGGAGGCTGAGGCAGAAGGATCATTGCAAGTTCAAGATCAGCCTGAGCTACAAAGTAAGTTTTAAGGCCAGCTTGAACTACATAGCAATACCCTTAAAAAGACCCAAAAAAAAAAAAAATTTATGGCTAGATTACAGAATTAGAAAAGTATCTAACAGTAGAACAAAGTAGAGAAAGAAAGCAATGTAGATAAAAATCAGTGAAATAATTACAGATACAGTAGATAGAAGCAATAAAGCTAAAGGATGATTCTTTTAAAGAACAAAAAAGATGAATCCTACTAAAGGGGCACAAATAGTATGAATAGTTGAGATATAGCGTATGACTATAATCCCAGCTACTCAGGAGGCTGAGGTAGAAAGATCACAAGTTTAAGACCAGCTTGGGTAATTTGGGTCTCAAAAAAAATTATATAAGTGTGTATGCATTCATCACGGGAATTGGTACATACACATACAACATCTTCATCCTTTCTACTTCTCCTGGAGGTGAAATTTTCTTTTTTAAAGATCTGGAGACATTGGGGCTGGGGATTTAGCTCAGCGGCATCAGTGCCTGCTTGGCAAGCGTGAGGTCATGAGTTCCATTCCCCCATACCAAAACAAAAAAAGAGCTGGAGACGTAGTTCCATAGAGAAAAATATAAGTATAGCTATGCTGGGTTCTGTGCCTAGATCCCCAAGCCCCCAAATCGGTGCACAGCAAAGGCCCAAAGAAATGAAACAAGTGGCATGATCTTTAGGGCTCCAGAGGACTAAAGTCCTCTGTAGAGCTCGTATCTCCACTAGCTGGCCAGTCAACTGACCCTGGACAGCCCATATTTAATCAGAACAAGGAGTTGAGTAGAAAACACAGGAAACCTGAGTAGGATCTTGGGAGGGGTTCAAGGACCCCTCAGAGCAACAGATGATGCTAATTAAGGAAGACTATCTAGGAAGTCTCCAGGTGGCCTTGGCTGTGGCCTATCCTGCCCCCAGAGGTGTCTTCATCATTCTCAGTTCAAGCATCCCCAGGCCATGTTGCAGCTCTGCATGGGTATTCAGCTTCAATGACTCAACACAGGTATACAAACTTTTAAAAGCTAAGAGAACTCTGTAAACTTGATACCAGTAATTTGAAAACTTGAATAAACTGAACTCATTAAAAAATATAATTTAACCTCAAAAAGAAATAAAAACCCTAACTGGTCATAAAACTATAGAAAAAAATAAAATAGTTTAAAAATTTCCACAAAACAATAAACAAAAAGCTGGTGTGGTGACACACACTTGTTAACCCCAGCACTCGGGAGGCTAAGGCATGAGGATTGCCGTGAGCTTGAGGCCAGCCTGACTTATAAAGCAAGACTGTCTCCAAACAATCCCCAAATCAAGCCCAGATAACTGTTTTTTGAGATGCAATCTTGCTATGTAGTCAAGGTGGCCTCGAGCTCACTGTGTAACCCAGGTTTACCATGAACAACAGTCCTCCTGCCTTAGCCTCCTGTGTGCTGGGGTTATGGGTGTGTGTTTGTGTGGCCAGCTTTCCTGATTTTTGTTTTAACAGCTGGTCCTGAGAATTGAATCTAGGTGCTTGAACCTGCTGGGTAAGCACTACACCTCTGAGCTATAGCATCAGCACCTAGTTATTTAGTTTTCAAAATTTATTTATTAATGTGGGTTTTTTTTGAGACTGGGTCTTGCTGTGTAATGCAGGCTGACCTTGAACTCACTGTGTAACCCATACTGACCTTGAACTTAGATCTGTAGCCTTCTCAGTGCTAAGATTCCACATGTGCTACCATGCCCAGCTAGCACCCAGTTAGTTTTATAAGTGAGTCTTAAGCTAAGCTTTCAAGGAATAAATAATCTCATACAAAATAACCTGGAGGATAGAAAAAGATGGAATCACAGTACAAATTATGAAAGAACAGTGTGACTTTATTAAAAACTAAAAACTTCTATGTATTTTAAAAATTCTTTAAAAAAACTACAAATCAGTAAGAGAAAGGTGGTCTATTGAAAGAAAAAATTGAATCCAAGTATTTTCCTGAAGAAATGATCCACAAAACATGAAAAGTTGCTCAACTTCTATTCATAGGGAAATAAAATCAAGACCAAAGTTACTTACTGAGCTGTAAATCATCAGGATTTTTTTTTTTTCTTTTTCCTTTTTATTGGTACCGGGTATCGAACTCACGACTGCTTGCTTACAAGGCAGGCACTTATGCCGCTGAGCTAAATCCCCAGCCCCCTAGGATTTCTTGTAATGATTTTGGGGAGGTGAGTGATGCAGTGATTTTGCGAAGCCACTTGGTGCTGACTCCCAGAGCTGGCGAGGTCTACCCTATGAGCCAGCACTCTGATTCCTGCACATGGCACAGCCAAAGCCATATGCAAGACTGTGTGAAACAGACTTCACAACAGCACGTTTTGGAAGCGGCTCTGATGCCCATCACTGGAAGAAGAGATGAATGCAGTTGGTGTGGTCTCTTGATGGCCTGTTGTTTGGCAGTGAAAATGGGTGGCATTTGTGACTTCCAGCAACATGGAAAATTTTAGTAATGTGTTGAGAATGAAAGGCAAGTCCCAAAAGACTGTGTACTGTGTGATGCCTTTTATATTGTAGAGGAGCAAAGTGTTTGTATGCACTAGCTGAGCGGAGTAGGGTATAAAAAGCACAAGAAAGGAACAGTAATCCCAGCCTGACGCCAGTGCTCCATGGGGGAGCATTTGCCTAGCGTGTGTGAGGCAAAGGATTTCAGGATAGCAGTTAGCTGTAGGTAGAAGTCCCTTGGAGCCTTAGTTCTTGGATTATTCTGCAAGTATTTATTGTTCTATTATAAAGGACCAGATGTGCTGAGGAGCCCCAAAGGGGGAGAAAGAAAGTACAGTGTAAAGTAAGAGGCTCGAAGGGGTGAGATGGCCTGGGTCCAAGTCCCAGGGTGTGCTTTGGCCAGAGGCATAGAGAGAAGCAGCCCCGGGTGACCTCCGCCCATCTCGATGCTTCAGCTGCACCTGATCCACTTCCCAAAAGGAAGTCTCCAAAAAGGATGGGAGTTCTGTGGTGTGTCCTGAGCCTCTAGCCTGGGATCCTGCATCGAGGATATGCCTCCATGTATAACTGAATGGCTAAAATTATACATGAGACCCATGTTATATTTCTGTTGATTGGTAAAGGGCTTGTCCACAAAGCAGGAGAACTTGGAGAACTGGGAATCCTCTCCCCTACCTAGACAACACTGTGATGACTGGAGGCGCCATACCATGAGACAGATCCAAGTATTTGCAGATGAATCAGCTTGAATCAAGTGCCCACTCTGAACACTTCCGATGTTTAACTGCAGCACAGCCCAGTCAGCCGGCCTTACTCTGATTTGGTGTTGAACTAGGCAGGACCAGGACCTTGAGGAGCCAGTTTACTTCTACCTCCCTGAGAACAGCATTATTAAGGAGAAAGATGTGCTGTAGTTCTGGCCCACCCTCCTCAAAGATACAGCCAACTGTACCTGCATGCCAGAGAATACTGAGTATTGCAGCAAAGTTGCATTCTCCCGGAAGTTGTTCAGAAAGACAGCAGACAGCTGTTTCAATTCCGCTGTGAAACTCCAATGGAGAAACTATGTAGAAGGTGGCATTCAGATCACTTATCCAAATGTGCA